TGATCCTTCAGAAATCATTCTAATATGCTGATTTGCCGCTCAAGAAACATTTCCTACTATTATCAATGCAGAGTTATAAACAGTTGTGCTGCATCATATTTTGTAGAAGCTGGGATCATTTTTTAGGGTTATTTGATGAATAGAAAAGCATTTGTTTTCAAACAGAATAGATAATATTTATTTGAAATAGAATATTTTGTAACATTATAAATGTCTCTTTTGTTCCATTTAATGCATCCTTGATGAATGAAAGTATTCATTCTCACTGACCCTAAACTTTTGAATGGTAGTGTGTATCAGTATTAGTTCTTTGTAAAGTCAAACGTACGCTTTAGTGGTGTCAGAATCGGCGTGTGATGCCGCTGTGGCTCCTGCTGGCGTCTCTTCGCTCGGCGCTGATGATGCTGTGACAGGTGTGGACTCCTCTGTGCTTCTCTTCTCCTCCACAGGAGCTTCGGCCTCGTGCTCGGACTGAACCTCCAGCTCCTGTATTGCAGGAGGAGCAGCTTTCGGCTCCTCGGCCTGCTTCATTGCCCTCTCTCTGTCCTGCTCAGCAAGCTTCTCATATAACTTAAACGTCTGGTGGAAGAATGACAGTAAATACACTTGACTCTTCAATTTATTACAGAAATGATAAAGTTGCATATTATAAATAAATTATTTTTTATTTAATAAATTATTCATTTTTTATTTAATTATTTTTGTAGACTGTTACAGTGATTATAAAGAGGCATAATATAAATACAAATAATGAATAATGCATTTATTAAATGAATTTAATTATTTTTAAAGACACTAACAGCACATTTAATAAATTACTTCATTCTTTTTAGGAGACATTTATAAGGTGGCATAATATAAATATATGAATAATCGAATTGTTTTAATTTTTTTATTTAATTAATGTAACATTTTTAAAGACACTTAGAGCAATTATAAAGTGGCATCATATGCATAGAATAATATTTTAATTACCGTTATTGTAAATTAATAATTTAATTAAAATGAAATTAATAATTACAATTTTTCTATAATTTAATAAAAATAATATTTCGGGGTTTTTTTTAACTGTCATACCCAAAACAAAATTACAACACTGACGCAAGGCTAGCTGTCATAGTCATTCATTACCAGCAAAACAAGACCATACCAGGTTTTTTAACTAGTACCACGACAGTAAACATCATAAAGTTAATAAATTCAGTAACGTTACCATGGCATTTCCAGCTGGTGCCATCGCTGTACCATGGTACTGCCACATTTATACTTATTTATAAAGAATCCAGTCAGTTTAGTGGATCAAAACAAAAGTCGCTCAGTACCTTGAACACCATGTTTTCAGCTACTCCGGGGGGGAAGCCCATGCGGTCCTGTGGGCCGCTGAGGAGACGGTAGAAGTCCGTCTTTCTGTACAGGAACCCAAAATAAACCTGCAGGAAATTCTGAATGTTTCCAACATGCTGCAGAATCCCTAACAGCGCGTTATCATACAACTCCGTCATTTCCACCGGAGAAGACATGGCTGAGTAGCTCAGCGGGATCAATTTTGACTCGACGCTGTTTAATGTAGATGCTTGTTGATGAAAAACAAATGTAAAGCAACAGAAGACCCGCAGAAAACTTGTGAAACAGCACTGCAACAACAGATCTTTCGAGAGGACGCAGCTGCCTAGGCGCTTCCGGTTCACTTAGTACAAAATAAAAGTCTGTCTAAAAACAAAACAAAACATTCTTCTTCTTCTAGTAGACGCTGCGGAGCGTATTACTGCACAGGTCAAAACAAAACATCTGAAAACACTTTACATATAATTACAATATTACATTTATTATATTAATATAATTTAACAACATGTAATACGCTTTTATATATATATATATATATATACATATATATATATATATATATATATATATATATACATACATATATATATATATATATATATATATATATATATATATATATATATATATATATATATATATATATATATATATATATATATATATATAATTATTCTAATTAGTTTTCAATATTATATTATATTAATATTAAAGTGTGCTAATATGTATTTGACGTTGAACTACCGGTACATACATTTAAATTATATTATACATTACACAGGATAAAATGTTGTTGCAGTGCGGAAGGTGGCAGTAATGCGCTCTTAACGACTGACGCCCTTGTGCAATTTGTGGGCAAAAACATGGCGACGTCCTTGGTCAGACAGACAAAATTGTTGTCGGTAAGATTTAATTCAGAATTTTTTTGCTTTTGTAACTAATGACCCGTATTTACCGGTGAGGATCTTCCATATATCGTGTAACTGACGTAGAAAATGAAAAGCGTTCTGATAAAAATATATAGAGATACTGGCACTGAACGTAATGTGGGATGTGAAGCTTGATTTTGGGATTATATAATTAATAAGTGCATGTCATTTGATTTATCCAATAATCTGTGTGTTCGTAGATGGTGACCAGCCAGTTAAACTCGGCGGCATGTTTCAGGAACATTCACTGCACTGCAGCTTGTTTGAAGGTATGTGATCAGATCTAGTGATTGCAGATGGGGTTTGTCTGATTTATTATGAGAGTTTTGTGTTATCCTTATTCATCCAAAAACATTTCTTTTAATTTAGCTTCTATTTTTTTGTTGGTTTTGAAGATTTACAAATGCAGACATTAGAACATTAGGATAAAAAAAAAAAAAAAAACGTTTTAATAATTTTCTTGAATAAAAACTTTTAAATGTTTACAATTATTAACAGATTTTGCTACTTAATATTACCCCATATTTACATTTATGTATACTAAATTGGAAAATATTAATAAAACATTTTCAAAACACATTTGGATAGGATGTGATACTTAATAAATGAAAGAAACCTGTCCAAAAACAAGCAACAACTCCAAAATAAATTAAATCCATGGCGTCCACAAAATGTATAAAATATATCAATATTACAATGCTTATCAGATTATTGCAAGGTGAGTTTAAGATACATTGTGTCAACTTTATCTGACATTAAAGCCTGGTTTCACATACAAGGTTTAGATTAAGCCAAGATTAGACCTTAGTTCAATTAGGGTATTTAAGTAGCTTTTATAAACGTGCCTTAAAAAAAAACATTACTGATGTGCATCTTGAACAAAACAATGGTAACAATACCGGGGGTAAATATTTATGAGGTAATTACCACATTTTATTCCATAACCAGTCCATCAACACAACCATTTCAAAATAGCAGGTCTGGTGAGAATATCCATTTGAAACAAAAGCTAGAACACATCAAATACTATTTGAAGGAAGTAGAGAAACAGATTTAACCGACTGCAGGATTGGCAGGGTCCAAAAGGTGTTTTTAAATGAGTAGTTTAAGTTTACTCACCCTTAGGTTGTTCCAAACCTGTATGAATTTACTTTTCTGCTGGACACAAAAGAAGATATTTTGAAGAATATGGTTAACCAAACAGTTGATGGACTCCACTATGGAAGTCAATGGCTACAGACATTCTTCAAAATATCTTCTTTTGTGTTCTAACAGAAAAAAGAAACTCATACAGGTTTGAAACAACATGAAGGTGAGTAAATGACAGAATTTAAATTTTTGGGTGAACTGTCCCTTTAAGAAGCGTGTTTAACCCAGATGATCTTTCTTCTGTCTAACAGAACCGCGCAGCTCGTATTCGAGTGGGTAAAGGAGACCGGCCATTGACGTATGAGCAGGTGCATCACCCTCATCACATCGGCCACAGGAAGGGCTGGCTCTCACAACACACTAGTGAGTAACAATCTTTACATTACACATCCCACTCAAACAGTACGCTTTCTGGAACCTGCTGGATTCCCAACATTACGTGGGCTGGTACTCCGGTTCAGTTTCATTGGAATTTAACTGTAGTATGCGTACTCTAAGTCACAAGTGCCTGAATAACAATCTTTGACTTCCTCATCCCGTAGGTAATCTTCAGGGTGAAGCTGGAGCGGCGGAGCGCGTGGTGGAGGACGTCTTCATCAGGCGCTTCATATACGGCACGTTTCATAACTGTTTAGCGGATGAGGTGGTGATCAAACGCAGAGGCAACATCCTGGTCATCTGTGCTGTGATGATACAGAAACTCTTACCGAGTAAATTCTACTTTCTCATTGGCTACACAGAGAAACTGCTCTCACACTTCTACAAATGTCCAGTTAAAATCGAGTTGCAAACAGTAGAAGAAAAAGTAGTCTACAAATATCTTTAAGGCCATATGTTGCGGCTTTAGAAAGTTGGTTATTGAAGGGGTGAAATGTCTATTTTTAGGTGTTTTACAATGTTCAATAAGTGTAAATGAAGGCCTTACATTTTAATTAAATCATTAGTCAAAATATTCACATCGCAATGTAAAAAAAAAGCCTTGCACTGTGTGTATTTATAAAGATCAAATTATGTGTGTTGCTTCATACATTGAGTGTGTCAATAAAGGGTTTTTTTTTCACACAAAAAGCAGTGAATTATGCATTTTGCATTTTTATTTGGCATTGTGCATTTTATAAATGGACCTAAGGAGATTAAAATAACTGAGCCTTTAATTGAGCAATTCATACATATGAATATTTTGCATACTCCATAAAGTTCAACATGCTCTTAATTTCTTCTTTAATCAGTCTAGATGACTTTCATTCAAAGCATTACACTAAATGTAGTTGTTAAAATATGTCAGAAGGAAACTATTTGCATACGTTTATTATATATAGTACATTAACATATATAATGTGTGTATGTACTCATTTATATATAGTATATTAATTACATACATTAAATTATATTTCATACATGTGGCAGTAATGTGCTGTTGCATCAAATGGACACTGCAAAGTTAATTTATTTCTTTGTGTAAATTTATTGATTTTTCAAAATTAGACATTTGTATCATACAAAGGCACAAACACTGATTTAGTGCAAAAAGGCACAATCATATAGATTAAAATATCCCTTAAATATCAGATATTTCCCTTTATGAAGCAAAATTAATTTTAAAACAACATCAGAGCAGGATTTCCACTGTGGCACATGAGGCACATAGATACATATATGGTTCAATTCACAGTACGAAGAACACATAAAACAACCATGCATAACCAAAGATAACGGTCCAAAAAAAAAAAACAGCTCTTAAAATGCAACGGGTAAATGTTTTGATGATAGTATATTTTAGTAGTCAAAATTTAGTTTAAACATTCATTTACCATAAAAGTCCTCCAAAAACATTGCATGACGACAGTAAGGAAAGCCTGAGGACGAGTAAACTTCCAGTTGAACTGGTTCAAGTCCTTAGAAGTGCTTTTCTTGTAGCTGTATTTCAGCATTTGAAGTCGAATCACACTGTAGATACATTCACATTTATAGGAGGGGCGTGTGCGTGACTTCACCACATCAGAAATAAAGGGACAGTTCACTCCAAATAAATGTAAAGATTTACTCACCCTAATTACTTCGTTTCAAACCTGTTTGACTTTCGTTTTTGCACCAAATGCAAATCCACATTTGTTAGGTGAACTATCCCTTTAAAAATTTCAGGAGAGATTTGTGCAAGTGAAAACCCTGACACATCTTCACATGACTGAACTTGGCGTTCTCCGCTCGAGCTGGACTTATTTGAGGATTCGACAGCCGTTTCCCATGCAGGACTCCAGCTTGATCAGCCTTTGGTTCATGATCTGCAGAAGGGAAGGATCGACCTTCTTCACAATGTTCTCCAGCTGATGGGGATCTGCCGTCAGGTTGTACACCTCTACAAACGACTGCAGGAGAACACAGGGGAAATTCAATGAGCCCACGTCTACATTCATCTAGATGCATTCGAAAATGGCATTTTCCTGTCAAAATGGTCTGTGAGGTCATGTCGCACTCAATTGCCATTCCATGGATGGTCTAAAATGCCATTGTAGGGCCTATGATTTCCACAATGAATGTAAAAACAACAACAATAATAAAACTTTGAGGGATAATCTCACAATTTGTCTTCTGTTTAAATTTGAACAGTAAACCTTTGTTGTGCAGCATTTTTTGGGTGCAAATAAATTATTAATGTTCTGTCTTCATTTGATTATCACTGTTTTTGATAATAATTTGGTATTGAATCATAAATCCAGAAAAAGTCAAACACAGCACAGCATAAAAAAAAAGCCTAAGTCCCTCCCCTCCGCTTCCGGCTCATGGGACCTTATTTCGGAAAAAACATGTATGGTTCAATGGCGAGAGACAATTCGTCTTTTTATTCCGTCTGAACTGTGCCCTGAATTACACATATAATGTTTGCCAATTTTAAAGATAATTATGAAAGTCAAGAAAGTCGCAGTTTATCATAAAACAGAAGAGTAACATTTAGTTTTATGTGGAAATCGCTCAATGAACTACATCTCCCGGGAAGCGAAACGAGCGAGATCCGCTGCTCGTGTGTGTGCAGTCTGGTACAAAACACTCAGGCATGACGGCGTAACGTAACAATTATAACGTAAGACTATAGAAAAAATGACAGACGTTAGCTTCAGTAAAGTTAGCTTCAGTCATTGAGAGAAAATGTGCGCCTTTGGGGTTTGTAGTCTTTGTAATTACGTATTTTCACAGTCAATACCTCAACAGTTTTACATCAAACTGCGACTTTCTTGACTTTAAAATGTATCTTTTAAATTAACAAGCATCATGTGTGTAATTCAGGGCACAATTCAAACGAGATCAAAATATTTGTTGTCTCTCGCCATTGACTACCATACAATATTTTTCCGAAATAAGGTCCCATGGTGGTCGACCGGAAGGGGAGGGACTTAGGCTCTCGGGTTCCGCAAGTAAAATCTCCATTAATTTTCTCCATCGGGAAATTGATTTTGAACGATAACTTATAAACCATTAAAGACAACCTTACTGTGAGCTGTGAGGTTGTTAATCGCTGGTATTTGCTTCTGCTGAAGCCGTCAGCCCGCGTTATTTCAACTCCGTTATTTAAAAAAAATAGTTTATCAGCAGAATTCATGGTGGTAAAACTACATTACCCATAATGCTGTACAGAAAATTACACCAATGAGTGAGTCGAGACAAGCAAAACGGCAAAAGATCTTGTTAGCTTCGCCCACACCCATGAAGCACCGCAAATTATGTAATCGAGTCGATCTCTCTAAGCCCTTAAAATACTTGAATATTCAATATATATTCATATTTTGCAATAATCTAAGAATCATCAACATTTTTAAATGTGTAGTTTTCTCCATTTCTCAATCGTTTTTAATTTGATTATGCTGTTTACAATGCTTCATGAGATTGTAGTTCTTTCTATCAATAAAGCAAAGTACACAGTCTTGTACCTTTGTATTGTTGTCTACTATTTTGCTTCAAATTAAACTTTGTAGTGTTGTAATTCACCTCGTAGCTGATTGGCTTGGTTCATGGCTTTTTTGTGCATAAATCTTACCAGTTTCATTTATGTATGACTGACAAATACGCACACAATCAAGTTTATTAAAACTGTGCAAGACAAATTCATGGAAATTTTTATATGCGATTCAAATACATAAATATTTTTTTTGTGTTCCCAGGGAATACATGAAGTAATAAAATCCATACTTTGAATGCAATGCAAGTCGATTTGGATAACGGCGGCTGCCTAATGCATAAATGTAAATGTGGATTAGTGTAGCCTGAGTTTTAGTGTAAAGCTCACCTCATTGTCTGCAAACTCACAGTACTGCAGGTCTCCATCCTTCAGAGTTCTGACGCAGGCGTACGTGTTGTTGAAGGCGTCCTCGCATACACAGTCTGGGAAACAATGCTGGAAGAAAGAGGAAATCTTTGGTTTGTATTCTAAGAAAACAGGAGAGGTTGATGGGAAAGTGCTGCATAGGAACACTTACAGCTAGTCCTGGGCCGAGTTTAGGGCAGCTGGGATCTTCAGAAGCAAATCCCTCACCAGTGTACTCCACTAGAAAGAAGGGCCGTTCGGTGCCATTACGCAATGATGGTGCCTTCATGGAGAACATTAGATGAGAAAAGACTCATTTTAGCATTTTTTTTCTCATTGTGACATTATTAGACCGTTTTCATTACTGTAATCCTCATTAACTGAGAATTCACATTAAATATAATTCTCATTCTCTGTATTGTAATGCAAAAAAAGTCATAAACATTATCTTCCTGGGATACACATTTCAAAATTAGCATAAAAGACTAATGGCAGAAAGTATGATTTCCTCAATACAATATTTAGTTGCTTTCTTGTAATGAGATTAAATAATTAAGCAACAATTAAGCACATTTTCTTAAAACTCCTCATATTTTTGTGGAAACACTGATAAAAACAAATTAAGGATTCTTTGATGATCTCTTGTAACATTAGAAATGTCTTAACTGTCACTTTTGATCAATTTAATGCATCTTTGCTGAATACAAGTATTCATTTCTTTCAAAAACAAATCTTATTTTTGAACAGTAGTGTGATATAATGAAATAATGCTGCATTGAGGTAGATAGTGTAGTGAAAAAGGCATTAAAACATGCAAATGAGTAGCACTTGAAACTGCATCAAAATACTTAATTCACAGTACTGTTATGAATAATCTATAATATAGTATAGCACAGTATAAATAATCTATAGTACAGTTCGCAATGGAAAGAAACACACTCCTGGGCAAAAAAATAAATAATGGGCCAAGCACAAAATGGCTAAACACTAAGGTTTTAATTGTCTTAACCACAAATGTCTGCTTGGGAAATGATCTGAATTTAAGCAAATGTACAACTGCTGTCTCAGACAAACAGAATTAAGTTTTTTGGCAGAATATGGGAAGTTGTAAATAACAATGAAACAAGGTGATGCTCCCGAGTGATGTCTTTGAAAATGTGCATCTCTACCACAGTGAAGCATGGAGGAAGAGTGTCATCACAGGTGTTTAGCTGCTGCTATCAATGAGCTGCTTCACTGTTTAAAGTCATTTAATGCTTCGGTGTACAGGAGAATATTGCAGAATGGCTCGCTTCAAACAAATGAAAAAAGTTATCTAAAGAGGAATGAGCAGATTTTATTGTTCAACGAGACAATGTTCCTGCCCAAACTGCAAAGACAACCAAGAAGTGGCTCCAGAACAAGTCCATCAGGCTCTTGCTTTGGCCTGGTCAGATGGTGCGTTCACGTGCTATGGAAAATATGATATTTTCCACTTGTGAACTGGTATTTACCAGTGTGTTGCGTTCAAGTGCTTTTGTTGTCGTAATGTGGTAAAAAGATGGAGATCCAGACCTGTTATTTAGCTAAAACTATTTTAGATTGCTTAAGTCATCTGCTACAGCAAGAAAATGATTTATCAAAACTTAAACGGTAAATAATATGCTGTATATTTTCTAGATCATGAATAGTACATATTTTTACCATTCACAACTCTTGCGTTGCTCTCTGCCATTTTGAAAAGGTCAAAGGTTATCTCATCTCGGCAACTCGTGCATCAAAATATTCTTCGAGTTGCCCAGTGGAAAATACCACATGAGGGGGTGTTCATGTGCATTTTCCATGTCGGCTTTTGGTATTGACCATAATTACCATAGCACGTGAACGCACCAAGAGACCAGATTTAAAGCCTATAGCAAATATTTGGTCTCACATTAAACAAACAAACTGGGAGACATTTTCAACTATTCATGAACTGTTTGAAGACATTAACATTGAGTGGAACAACACCGACTCGTCAATCAGGAAGTTAATTTATCTACAGTATTTGTGCAATCCTTGCTATAATCTTGAACAGTGATTAAGGTTTAAGACCATTAAAAGGCCCCTAAATATATTGCCATTTTTGGCTTGGCCCTTTTTTTTTTTTTTTTACCTAGGAGTGTATATACTGTACACACACACACACACACACACACACACACACACACAATAAGAATATAAATACACATGTACTGAAACAGGAAGTGAAAAACATGACACACTCACCATCTGCGGCAGGAAAGACTGTCCGTCCATGTTGACGGTGGAGAGATTTACTCCAGCGATGTCCAGGATAGTCATGGGAAGATCTATATTCAACACTGGAGACTAGTGGACAGTTTAATAGATGTTACAGCATTTTACGTAAAATAATAGATTTAGACATATCGCTTAATAAATCAGTAATTCATTCCTCTAACCTGAAGTGTTTGGTTAGCTTTGATTCCTGGACCCCGAACCAAGAGGGGGATGCGAATGTCGAAATCATACAGTTGTCTCTTGTCAATGGGCAATGAGAACTGGCCTGAAATTGATTTTTAAAATATGGTGTTATTAAGACAGACAGTAACACATGTAACCGTGGCGATAGAGGACGCACCAGTGTGATAGCCGTGATCAGACGTGTAGATGATGTACGTGTTGTCCAGTTCCTTCACTGAATCCAGTTTCTTAATCAGCTGTTCCACCATGTCGTCCACAGACAGAAGCGTCTGCCACCTATCAGAGATATTAAATACACATCATATCACATTACATTGTGATGTGATAAAACTTGTCATGAAATCTGTATTTTTGTACCTCCTGCGGAAAGCGTCATCAAGGTACTCAATGGAGCTGTTTGGCATGGGATTCACAGGCTGTCGTAATAACCAATGTTTGTCCTGAGATCAGAGAAAGAGCATTTAATCTTACGCTCATGAGGCCACTCACATCTGACCGTTTTCATTTAGCTTCATTTGACAGACTAAAAGAACAACTAAAACTGAAATATACATTTATAAAAAGGCAAAACAGCAAACAAAAAATACTAAATTTAAGTAAAAAAAAAAAAAAAAAAAAAAAAAAAAAAAGCGAATTCAAAATATTAATAAAAGCTATAATATTATGACAATTATACTAAAATAATGATTGGATCAAAATATAAGCAAGCCACTTTGAAAATACAGACAAAAAAATTCAACAGGCAACATACAAAATACACAAATAATAAAATATTAATATATATATATATATATATAATATATATATATATATATATATATATATATATATATATATATATATATATATATATAAATACAATTGATGGACAATATAAAACTTACTAAAACATGCTTATTTACCAAGTAATATAAATTAATAAAATATACAGTATATATTAATTACATGTATTATAGTGCTGTCCAATCACGATTAATCACAAATGTAAAAAATACAAACATATATAATATTATACATTTACAATCTTTTATGTTAGATGCGATTAATTGATTTGAGAGCACTCATTTATTAACAGACTCAGTGGCTGGTATTATTTAAATCGAATTAACAAAATATTTAAGAAAGCATATAAAAAAAAATCATGCTTTAAAAAACATACTTCTTGCACCATTTAAAAAAATAAAATACAACTATCACCACCAATATTATTTAAGTAAAATACAAAATTAATTTAGATTAAATCTGCTATGAAATATTGTGAGAAAAATGGCTGCTGAAAGATGTGAATATTTACAGAGAAATATAAAATATTATTTATACACATTTATATATAAATTACAAATCTTTTTGATATAAAATAATATTTTACTAATATTTATATTACTTATTTTTAGATTAGTTTTCTCTAAGCTTAAAATATCGTGGGAAGTCAATCTTGTTAAATGCATTTAAGCCTGCAGTGCTTGCTCGTAACCTATCAGATGTCAAGGTGGATGAAACTGTAAGCTGAACCTTTCCAGGCTTGTTGAAGCTGCCGTCGCGTGGCGCTCTGACGTCGCTGAAGGTCTTCTGATGCTGCGGGGCGGCCGTCCACGGCGAATGAGGAGACGGAGGACACAACATCATGAAGAACGGATAATTGGGGCTCCGCTCCTCCAGAAAATGCAGCGACCGGTTCAACTAGAATCAACAAAGACTTTATTTCAGAACCATCTGTTTTAAATGTAATATATAACTTTATGCAAACAAACCAGATTTTATGGCACTTCATGTGGTTTGATAGTGGATCACATTTTAAGACCTGATTGTACGAATTAAAAACATGCCTCAAAAAAGGTTTCCTTTTTTTTGGTTGATATTTTATCTAATGCAATAACATTCATATTTTTAAACAAAAACAATTTAAATTTTTACTGCAGATGCACTGTTTTTTAGCTGTTCCTAAAGCTCCCTATTAGTTAACTAAAACCGTTACTCGAAATAAAATAAATATTATCATTAGAAGTAAAATTTTGATGTTAAATCCACTATTGTTTGATATACAATCATTCTACGATTACCTCAAAAGTAACGTACAGAAAAACGACGAAAAAATTATTATGCATTACACCCAACACAGGTGGAGAATTACTATTGTGAGTGGAGTTTAATCTTTTTCCAGGACACCTGACCTTAGTTAAACAATAACAGAGCAGGTTTTAGTGTCAGATTAAGGGCTATAAACCAACATTACAGCAAGTATCAAAGGGGTCCAGTCATGAATCTTGCAGAAGTCACGACACACTGCTGACGTGAGGAGGCTTGATCTAACATGCAATGCAACTGTGTGGGTTATTATTCACAATGAGGCAAACAGCTCGTATCTTGTTCTAAAACAGCCAATTGCAACATTATTTGATAACCAGATTGTGTTAACTGATCCATTTCACACGTAAAACATGTTTAGCAGGTGATGAGGCAAATTCATTGGCTTTCACATTTACAAGGAAGCAAATAGTCGCACTTCAGTATATATATAGTGATATTATAATGACAAGTTTCAACTTAATGTCAAATTCAAATTGACTATTTACTTCACAAGAAGACTAGGATTGTGTGTTTGAAAACTATTTATCAGTACAACTTATTCAAAATAAGTCATAACTTGTCTTTGACAGATTTTAAAACCCTTTCTAACATATAAAATAAATAAGTCATGCATTGTATTCCTCATTGAATATCCAGTTTCACCCAGAAGTACATCGCAGTATTGAAGTAAAATTGAAGCCTTAATACTGACTCTACACTTTAAAGCATTAAAGACTCACAACCAGGTCTGTGAGATAGTCCTTCTCATAGTTGTCCCCATGTTTTTCCTCTTTTCCATTCACAGAAAGTGTGTAATTGTAATACTGAGAGTTTCCCACCTGTGGATACACAAATAAAACCATAAGATCACACTGAAATTAACATACGCACAATGAAAAACCTGCCATAAAACAATCAGTAAAAGCGAGATTAAACGGTTAAAACTGGATCTGCTTTTGCGGTGCAGGATGTGATGAAACCAGCTCACATGACTGTACTAAACCATGCGTTCTGCGTGAATGCGTGTCTATCGGTGACTGACACTGTGTATAGCTTTTCCCTGCTGATCTGAATGCAGATATAGTGAAACAGGAAGTAATGTGGGACTGATGCTTCAGTTCGTGACTTACCAGCGCGTGCCATTGGTCCCAGCCGGGAGGCACATGAGCCACACCGCCTGCGTCCTTACTTCCATACTGAAGACACGGAGAGGGATTTATACAAGATGAGTGTAAACAGAATCTCACAATACTGGTCAAAACATGCCAGAGTCATACTGCCCCCTTCAAATTTAAACAGAAACAAATAAACTGTTTTTTGTTGATGAAATGAAAGCCATTTTAAGATTTTTTTTCCCCCCATTATTTCCATGACAATTAAGCATATTTAATCTCTCCCAATTCTCATTACAATAATGCAAAAAAAGTATATTAAATAGTATTTTACATGGTAGCATTTGTTGTATTAGTGCTGATTGAAATAAGTATAAGTATCTATCCTTGTGTTATAAGTAGGGCTGTCAAATGATTAATCACGATTAAACTTATAAGTATTATAGAGTTTTGATTATAGTAATCAGAATTTGGGAGTAAAATGTGCCTTTATTATCATAATGATTAAGCACATCATTTTTTTTTAGAGCTTTTTTTTTATTTTTTATTTTTTTATTTCAGGTGAAATATGACCAGGACTGGAAAGTAGTTGAAGAGAAAAACTTCTTAATCTCTTAAAGGGACAGTTCACCCAAAAATTAAGATTCTGTCATCATTTACTCACCCACAAGTTGCTCCAAATCTGTATGAGTTTCATTCTTCTGCTGAACACAGAGCAAGATATTTTGAAGAATGTTGGTAACCAAACAGTAGATGGACCCCATTGACTTCCATAGTTGTTTTTTTCCTACTATGAAAGTCAATGGCAACAGCCAACCGTTTGGTTACCAGTGTTGTGCCGTTCATGAACTCGTTCATATTTTGGGCGAACGTGAACTGAACGTACTGTATTACTGCCTGATGAACGTTACTGTGAACTCGTTCATTCTGGTGTCTGTGAACGCACGCTCTCTCAGTTTAACTTCGTTCAATAGGGTGCCAGATTTCTATAGAGCCTTCCAGGCGAAAACCTGGCTAAAACACACCGTAAACATGTAGCAAATATAGCAAATCCTTAATATGTAGCAAAAGAAACACCCAATCTGGCAACACCAGCCACCAGTGTCGCTCCGCCACATGCGCCATCAAAACAAAAAGCAGCATGTAGTCGACAAAGCAGTGAGCGAGGAGGCGGCGTATGATCATTTAAACGAGTTTTATGCAAGGTCAGTGAGGATGGGAAAAATCTTTCGTTTCTGTGCAAACTTTACCCGCCGACAGGGGCGGGCGGGCGGCGCCAGATCATTTTTAACGCAGGTGCTGAGGGGGTGCTAGATCATTGACAGGGGGAGCTGCACAATTAGCCTATATATATATACACTCACCGGCCACTTTATTAGGTACCCCATGCTAGTAACGGGTTGGACCCCCTTTTGCCTTCAGAACTGCCTCAATTCTTCGTGGCATAGATTCAACAAGGTGCTGGAAGCATTCCTCAGGGAGTTTGGTCCATATTGACATGATGGCATCACACAGTTGCCGCAGATTTGTCGGCTGCACATCCATGATGCGAATCTCCCGTTCCACCACATCCCAAAGATGCTCTATTGGGTTGAGATCTGGTGACTGTGGAGGCCATTTTAGTACAGTGAACTCATTGTCATGTTCAAGAAACCAATTTGAAATGATTAGAGCTTTGTGACATGGTGGAAGTAGCCATCAGAGGATGGGTACATGGTGGCCATAAAGGGATGGACATGGTCAGAAACAATGCTCAGGTAGGCCGTGGCATTTAAACGATGCCCAATTGGCACTAAGGGGCCTAAAGTGTGCCAGGAAAACATCCCCCACACCATTACACCACCACCACCAGCCTGCACAGTGGTAACAAGGCATGATGGTTCCATGTTCTCATTCTGTTTACGCCAAATTCTGACTCTAACATCTGAATGTCTCAACAGAAATCGAGACTCATCAGACCAGGCAACATTTTTTCAGTCTTCAACTGTTCAATTTTGGTGAGCTCTTGCAAATTGTAGCCTCTTTTTCCTATTTGTAGTGGAGATGAGTGGTACCCGGTGGAGTCTTCTGCTGTTGTAGCCCATCCGCCTCAAGGTTGTGCGTGTTGTGGCTTCACAAATGCTTTGCTGCATACCTCGGTTGTAACGAGTGGTTATTTCAGTCACTGTTGCCCTTCTATCAGCTCGAACCAGTCTGGCCATTCTCCTCTGACCTCTGGCATCAACAAGGCATTTCCGCCCACAGAACTGCCGCTCACTGGATGTTTTTTCTTTTTCGGACCATTCTCTGTAAACCCTAGAGATGGTTGTGCGTGAAAATCCCAGTAGATTAGCAGTTTCTGAAATACTCAGACCAGCCCTTCTGGCACCAACAATCATGCCACGTTCAAAGTCACTCAAATCACCTTTCTTCCCCATACTGATGCTCGGTTTGAACTGCAGGAGATTGTCTTGACCATGTCTACATGCCTAAATGCACTGAGTTGCCGCCATGTGATTGGCTGCTTAGAAATTAAAGTCCCTGTAAAGTCAAAATTTTGTATGTGTTCTGAGTTTGTCACACGACAGAAAAATGTGTTATTAGCCACCCTGCCAAATTTGAATGATAAAAAAAGCCAGCAAGTACATAAAATAAGCTATCAAAATCTTGAAAAAATGAGCAGTAGTCTCTGCTCTCAAACGCTGGGGGCGTGTCCGCTGGCTGCGCTGAAACCACGCCCACTCGCAGGAAAGCTGCCGTCGCCACACTCAACTCTACAGCCGGAATAGATGCTCGCACGGTGGGCACGCACTGCCGATGATGGCACCAGTTGTCTGCGCGACGGGAGGATGAATGCCGAGGCGGAAGATAGTCGGTTCGGGCCCATTCACCAGTAACAACGGATTATCAGTGAATGTCTCAGTTGTCTCCGACGAAAGTTTATAAAACTATCCCGTGTAAAATGATCACTTACAGAGGCGGGTGTCGGCGGTGATCCTCAGCTCTCCATCAAGGTTGGCTCTTCATAAAATTAATCCACTTCTTCTTGATGTAATCGTTGTTCTGAAATTTAAATAAGGACACCGATCTGTTTTGTATGTGATCCGGTGATCGCATCCAGGTAGTAGGCCTACGCATTTCCATGACGAAGGCATAGCTAGCTAGCAATCTGTAGGCTGCTGTAGTAACTAATAGTACTGACCGTAACTCACGATTGAGTGGCAAAACTGATGCGAATGTGCTCTATTGTTAGGGGAGCGGACAGCCTCAGTGCGTCATCAAGTAGGGGCGTGTCCAGGAGCTCAGGGGCTCCAGTGCGTCATCGAGCCCCGTTTTAGCCCCGCCCAAAAAATCCGGAAAATAGCAATGGTGAAAAACTGTTTAACGGTCTAACTCCACAATTCAGTACTTCACAGTTCACAGTCTTTGTAATATGTTTTAGCAATACATTTCTAACATTTATAATGTGTTTAGATTTTTTTTTTTTAAATTGCCTTTACAGGGACTTTAAGTGTTAACGAGCAGTTGGACAGGTGTACCTAATAAAGTGGCCGGTGAGTGTATATATATATATATATATATATATACACACTATTATTTAAATGAGCAAAATTAAATGATGAGATGTGCTCCAGTTCACGTGCAATGCAATCGCGCCTCCTTATCTTTATCATATTGTCTGCTATATTTGCTTCTTATTTAGGCTATTATACCCAGTCAATTGGTTGATGAAAAATTTATTAAAATTAAGATACAATTTATACAAAACGAAAACTTTAAAAAAGGCTTTCTACAAAACAAAACTTAATTTATACTTAACATAAAAAAATTAAAATCCTTTTCCTTTAAATCCTCACTTGTCTGGCTTATGCTACTCCGAGCAATGTCCGAACTTGGTATTTTGAGCACTTCTTGCGTTGTTTTTGCCTTTTCACGATGACTCGCTTGGTTTAGTCCTCAGTTGAGTCGCTTTGGATTAAAGCGTCTGCTAAAATAAATGACTAAATGTAAATGTGTAAATGTAAATTTAGTGGTCAAAATCATGCCTGACCCATCATATCTTCCGATATATCGCGCATCTTACTCATGCTGTTCATCAGCATAGATGTAAAAAAAAAAAAAAAAAAACGTATTATAATATTTGAACAAAAATGAAATTAAATGCGCTTATTTAATGGCTACAACACACATATAGTTAGCCTGGTTCTACCAGACTCTCGTACATTTCATTTGTACAGAGAGTCTGGCCTCGCTCCATTGAGAAACGTTTACTTCCTTGTAGGCGGGTTCTCTGTTAAAGTTCAAAACTATTGGATCTGCCCAGAGTCACTCAGGATCTGCCATAGCCAATCGCTAACGTGTGGTCGTGACGTATGTCATGCGCCGAAACCGGCTGGAAACAAGTCCGAATTCCATATTCATAAATCTAAATATCTAAATGCTAAACCTCTCTTTCTTATATTTGTGAAAGAATTTTAAAAATACCTCTTTTCAATTAAGTTGTCTGAGAACAAAAAAAGCCTTAAAAACATTATCTGTTTGTAATTATTTGCCTTTTTTCAGTATCATGTTTTTCTCTTAACTTGTTAATGTTTATTTTATATTATCCCCCTGTTTTTTTTTTTTTTTTTTCTTTTTTTTTTTTTTATGTTTTCTTTTATTACTTGTGTATTGTTTTAAGCAATAAAAAAAACAAGTTCAAAATGATCAGAGGATTATGTTTAAAATAAGATGTCTGTCAACGAGAGCTGCATGTTTTGTTCATCGAATTTAAGAGTTCAAGGAACAATTTTAAATGTATATTTTGACACTAAGGACAGTGATGTATTCAGTCAACTGTTGAAGCTGGGTGTAATCATTAACACTACGCCGCTGCGGGCGTTTCGGATCTGCCACAAATGCTGTACAGTGATCATCGTGCACGCCGAGCTGCCCAGCACGAACTCCTAACCTTTCTGCCTCCCTCACTTGGTCCTCCATTAGTGCAACAAGAGGAGACGACAACAACTATAGGCTTTGCATCCCTATCGTTCGCCTTAGCTAACTCATTCACCACTAGCGGAGTGAGCTGGAAAATTAAACTTTTCCCGAACCCCGTGGGGAGGAGGGCCACAACATCATGGCCACCAACAACACTTAGCAAACATTGATCTTGCTCCAGCTTTAACTTCTGTATATTCGGAAGTTTTGCAACAACGGACCGAATAGATTTTCTCTCGTCTTTCTCCGCTGCCGTCACTGAACTCCAACTCAAACTGACGCGCTACATCAACGTCATCGTTCTCAGCCACTCCCTCTATTCGCTGATAGGTTTCCAGAAATCAATTTTTTGTAGGACCAAAGAATACACAGCAGTCCCAGACGTAGTACTGAAGGAAAATGAAATTGAGCGGAAGTGCGTAGGAGGGCGGAGCCAGGCTAACATATAGTGGGCCTGACTCTCTAAATATTGAAACAATTAACATTAACAATGCTGAAGTGCAGTTAATTAATAGTAAATGTTAACTAATCTAATTAAGGGTTACCGATTTTTTATACACCGATTCAGAGGTCTCGTGAGTTCAGTGTTGGACATGTCAGTTGTTTTAACTATTCATTAAAGTGAATGGTTAAAATGAGTCATTCGTTTGCGTATCGGACGTGTGGACTTCTACGGCACGCTTGTGATTATCTCAATAGCGTCGGCAGTTTAGGACATCGCACAAGATTTGCGTCAATACAGAAAACATATCACTGGATAGGTTTTTTCGTTTATTGAAATTTGGTTTAGGTCAGCTGAATGGGCGGAACGCTTTTTACAGATGATAAGCTGGGCAACGTGGTTTTTTTTTAGCACAATTCACACACCGCGGTAATTCAGGAGAACAAATCTCCAAATGCTCCACGTGAAACTGCGGTCTTCCGTCCTTTTACTATCGTGATTCGTGTCAATTGATTTTGATTAATATGCGCGAGAAGTGTTTAAAGACGTGAGAGGGCCGGGGCTCTCTCTCTCTGCTCGTGATGCGCCCTGTCAAGCGCAGCAGTCATTCTATTCTACATCACTCACCGATCAAAAAAGGCTTTGGCGGGACAAAAATTTGCCGTTATTATGTCGAAACACCGAGATATTATATTGAAATAACGACTTAATATCTCGAAATAACATATATTTGAATATAATTGATTCCAGAATCCAGACATTATTTTGGGGGGTGCTATCGGGGTGCTTTGGTCTTTCTTGGGGGTGCTGAAGCACCTGCTAGCCCCTCCCTAGCGCCGCCCATGCCCGCCGATAAAATAATTGCTGTCTGTGGTTGTATATGGACTGTGGCAATAATTTAAAAACAAAATAGCTCGCAGCAACATATGGAAAAAAAATTTGGAACAATTTTTTGGAACTGTGAACTTAGTTCTAAATTTTGAAGTATGACCTGAACTAGTTCATTTTAAAATTTGTGAACTGAACTTTGAACTAGTTTATGTAAAAAGTGAACTTTCCCAACACTGTTGGTTACTAACATTCTTCAAAAATATCTTGTTCTGTGTTCAGAAGAAGAAAAAAATTTATACACGGTTTGAAACAACATGAGGGTGAGTAAATGATGACATTTTTGGGTGAACTGTCCCTTTAAGAATGTTGTTGGTTAAGAACATTTCAAATATTTGAAGGATTTGTGAAGAGCTTCTGATAACATTGTTGACAATTTAACACTCTGCAAATAGGCCAGTGAAGACCTAATAGGAAATAGGCCCTCTATTTCATAGAGTCCCAGACGGGTAAAAGGCTGACCTGATTCAGGTATTTCCCCCCGTAGAAGGTCTGGTAGTGCATCTTATTGAGGTAAACCGGAAAGGCGAAGGGCTCGACCTCTTTCTGCCACGTCACGCTGCTGCAGTTGCCAGAGATGGAGTTATTTCGGACTAAATGATTGTGTGGATATTTGCCACTGAGGATGCTGCTACGACTGGGACAGCACAGAGGGGTGGCAGTGAACTAAACACAACAGGAAAGGAGAAACTTGTGATATTTGATCAGCTCTGTGAAAAGCTCTTCATGGCTGAGCACTCACCGCATTGGAGAAAGTCACACCAGCATCACCGATCAGTACTTTGGTCTTCTTCATGGGAGTCTGCGGAAACAGAAAGACTTAATGTGACTCTTATAGCATTAATATAATGCATCATCTGTAACACCTAAAATGTCAACAGGATGTATTATTTCACACACTAATTTTCACCTAATGACTCACTTCTGGGAACTTGATATGAAACAACTGCAGGTTCAAAATGACTTTAACATGCTCTCCCTGCCTGACCAGCATGAGACTGGTTTAGCCTAGTATATATACACATTTAAAAGCATATTAGAAATCTGTTATGTTGTATACAGGTCCTTCTAAAAAAATTAGCATATTGTGATAAAGTTCATTATTTTCCATAATGTAATGATAAAAATTAAACTTTCATATATTTTAGATTCATTGCACACCAACTGGAATATTTCAGGTCTTTTATTGTTTTAATACTGATGATTTTGGCGTACAGCTCATGAAAACCCAAAATTCCTGTCTCAAAAAATTAGCATATTTCATCCGACCAATAAAATAAGTGTTTTTAATAAAAAAAAAAAAAGTCAACCTTCAAATAATTATGTCAGTTATGCACTCAATAGTCAATACTTGGTCGGGAATCCTTTTGCAGAAATGACTGCTTCAATGCGGCGTGGCATGGAGGCAATCAGCCTGTGGCACTGCTGAGGTGTTCTGGAGGCCCAGGATGCTTCGATAGCGGCCTTAAGCTCATCCAGAGTGTTGGGTCTTGCGTCTCTCAACTTTCTCTTCACAATATCCCACAGATTCTCTATGGGGTTCAGGTCAGGAGAGTTGGCAGGCCAATTGAGCACAGTGATACCATGGTCAGTAAACCATTTACCAGTGGTTTTGGCACTGTGAGCAGGTGCCAGGTCATGCTGAAAAATGAAATCTTCATCTCCATAAAGCTTTTCAGCAGATGGAAGCATGAAGTGCTCCAAAATCTCCTGATAGCTAGCTGCATTGACCCTGCCCTTGATAAAACACAGTGCGCCAACACCAGCAGCTGACATGGCACCCCAGACCATCACTGACTGTGGGTACTTGACACTGGACTTCAGGCATTTACATTGGCATTTCCTTCTCACCAGTCTTCCTCCAGACTCTGGCACCTTGATTTCCGAATGACATGCAAAACTGAGCAACAGTCCAGTGCTGCTTCTCTGTAGCCCAGGTCAGGCGCTTCTGGTTCAAAAGTGGCTTGACCTGGGGAATGCGGCACCTGTAGCCCATTTCCTGCACACGCCTGTGCACGATGGCTCTGGATGTTTCTACTCCAGACTCAGTCCACTGCTTCCGCAGGTCCCCCAAGGTGTGGAATCGGTCCTTCTCCACAATCTTCCTCAGGGTCCGGTCACCTCTTCTCGTTGTGCAGCGTTTCCCACTGAGGTGCCTTGATACAGCACTCTGGGAACAACCTATTTGTTCAGAAATTTCTTTCTGTCTTACCCTCTTGCTTGAGGGTGTCAATGATGGCCTTCTGGACAGCAGTCAGGTCGGCAGTCTTACCCATGATTGCGGTTTTGAGTAATGAAACAGGCTGGGAGTTTTTAAAAGCCTCAGGAATCTTTTGCAGGTGTTTAGAGTTAATTAGTTTATTCAGATGATTAGGTTAATAGCTCGTTTAGATACCCTTTTCATGATATGCTAATTTTTTGAGACAGGAATTTTGGGTTTTCATGAGCTGTATGCCAAAATCATCAGTATTAAAACAATAAAAGACCTGAAATATTTCAGTTGGTGTGCAATGAATCTAAAATATATGAAAGTTTAATTTTTATCATTACATTATGGAAAATAATGAACTTTATCACAATATGCTAATTTTTTTAGAAGGACCTGTATAACACTGGTGGTCAAAAGTTTGGAATAGATGTATTTGTTTGGTTAGTTTTGAAGGAAGTCTCTCCTGCTCGCCAAGGCTGCATTTATTTGACAAAAATACAGTAAAGAATACCTGAAGGATCATGTGACACTGAAGACTGGAGTAATGATGCTGAAAATTCAGCTTTGATCACAGGAATAAATTACATTTTAAAAAGCATAACAATAGAAAGCAGTTATTTTAAATTGTAATAATATTTCACAATATTACAGTTTTCACTGTACTTTATGTATTGTGAGTGACATATTACAAAACTTTAAATAACTGCTTTCTATTTGAATACGTTTTAAAATTAATATTTTATATTATTTATTTTAGGATTTAAAATGTATTCCTGTGATCAAAGCTGGAATTTTCAGCATCATTACTCCAGTCTGCAGTGTCACATGATCCTTCAGAAATCATTCTAATATGCTGATTTATTATCAATGTCGGTAACAGCTGTGCTGCTTAATATTTGTATCAAATATTACTTTTTTCAGGATTCATTGATGAATAAAAAGCATTTATTCAAAATAGAAATATTTTCTAACAATATAAATCTTTACCGTCACTTTTTTTTAAAATCAATTTAACACATCCTTGCTGAATAAAAGTATTAATTTCTTTTAAACAATTTCTGACCCCAAACTTTTGAACAGTAGTGTATATTGTTACAAAAGATTACTATTTTAAATAAATCCAATTATTTTTTACTTTTTTCTTTTACTTTTTATTCATCAGGGAATCCTGAAAAAAGTATCAAAATATTAAGCAGCACAACGGTTTCCAACATTGATAATAAATCATCATATTATAATGATTTCTAAAGGATCATGTGACTAAAGACTGAAGTAATGATGCTGAAAATTCAGCTTTGCATCACAGAAATAAATTAAATAAGTACATTCAAATAGAAAACCATTATTTTAAATTGTAATAGCATTTCACATTACTGTTTTTTTCTGTATTTTTTATCAAATAAATGCAGGCTTGATGAGCAGAAGATACTTTTAAAAAGGAAACATTAAAAATAGTAATATATTTTTGGACGTACACCAAAGTAGTACCATTGTATTTTTGGAAGTTCACTGAAATACTATGTCAATATAGTGTATGGACTTCAGAACCATGTTAAATATCAAAGTACCATGGTATTACTATTTATTAAGTTACCAGAACGGTAGCTACTTTTGTTCAAAGGTGGTATTGTCATGGTGCAGCACGACCAATAAAAAAACATTTGTAGTGTACTTTTGTACACTTACCATTCCCCCCATTTGCACATCCTGGTCGTCGGTGAGAATGAGAATGATGTTGTTCAGTTTGACGCATTCTGAACACCTGAGCGTGCAGGTGAGAAGAGTGACGAGCACACAGGTGGACACGACGCGCGCGCTGGACGTGCACTGACCGAAGCGCGAGCTCGCCATGAGGCCAAAATCAGGTCCAAATCAGCCCAAACCCGCGATCTGTGTGTGTGCGTGCCTGCCTGCCCGGAGACACGGAGTCCGTCGAGCACAAGAGGGTTTCGCGTGGCGAACTGCAGCTCTCGCGGACCACGGTGGGATGAGCTGAGAAAGTTTGAGGAAGTGAGACGCTCAGTGTGTCATATGACTTCAGCCTGATATAACAGCTGATACATTTACACAGTCATAGTTCAATTAAGTAATATAATCAGAAAATGAATCGCTGTTTTGTAGTTTTTCTTCCACTGACACAAAGTTTGTGCCTGTTAAAGGATGTTCTGAGTACTTTGCATCGTTTTATTTTTATTTTTTATTTTTTTATGTGGATAATGTTCTGACAAAACAAAATCGTCCACAATCTTCTATTAGATTTGTTTTTTTTAAATATGACATGTAAGTTTAATAATTTATATGACATTTTATATGGAAAAATGTATATATTTATATTATTTAAATTCACGCATGTTATAAGAATTGTATATCATCATCGTCAATAAAGAGAAATAGGACTAAACCATAAATACATATTCCTCTCAAATCAACTAAATAACATGACAATGCCTGCGCGTTTTATTTCAAGGTCACACCCCCTCCCTTTCACGTGATTGTTTTTTATTTGTTTAGAATCGAAAATGACTTGGTATTGTAAATGCATTTGAGGATCAAGAAAAACTTTCTGGACTTTTCGAATTCATTGTTTTATTTATGTTTTATTTTAATTCTTAGTGAAGTTAATGTGGCAATTATGTCTGCACCCAGTCGGAACATTTTATGAGTGCACCAACATGTGCATCACTCAAAATAGATCCCCCTGTCCTGTGTACATGAGATATGAAGTCCATGAGATGTCGCCTGTGGCCCGAAAACCTATACTGAATGCTGGGCTTTTTTCTCTTTTTTTAGACGTTTCTGAACAACCCCGTTGTCGATTAAATCTATTGTTTAAAATGCATGATACGTTGCTACCATAATTAGAAATCCGGTGAAGCAATCCTTTTCTAGTAATCACAAATGGCTGTGATTGGTCCATCCTCACCAACGCTGAAAAAAGTAACAGAAATCACACGTGAATCCTTTCGCTGCGGTTATGACAATATTCACCTGAAAATGTATAATGAGAAACATACTTTCTTTATAGCAGTTTCATTTAAAAATAGCAAGTGAAGGGTTAAAACACAATACTTATTATTTATGCCCACCGTGACCAATTAAAGACACATTTTGGGCCACTAATGCGCGCACTTGAATCATATATTTTTTTTCTGTGACTCACACGTGACATCTTTTCCCTCAATCTTGTGAAAGTGCAGAGAGTGTTGGATTACATCTGATCTGTGGTGGTAGATGAGGTGGTTAAAATTGTCAGAAGGGGGATCCAAAGTGTTAACTCTAGTCTAGAGTAGACTATGTCTATGATCCCATTAAAACGCAGGAAAGTATCTCTAACTGTTAGCCAACAGAATGACATCTGTAAATTTCCCCATGTTTCTATATTCATCTTGGAGAGAAAGCTGGGAACGTCTAGAAGAGCATTTCTTACACGACTAGGACGGAGCAAAGGATTTCTTATTAAAGAAACCTACAGGTATGTTTACATTACGAACCGTCGTCAATTTATCATGCTAATGCCACTTTATTTTTTGGAAGGGTACCATAAAACACGAGTTATTAATCTATTATACAGATAAAATTGGATTTAAATAATACATACTGTTGTGCATTACTATAGTGAGTAGAAATATATAAATAATGTAACTTAATTTAACTAATTTTAGATGTACATTTTCAGTGTATAAAATGGGTGTTTAGAAATGATAGATGGATTTTAAATTTTAGGATGTGTCCTTCACATGAGGTGGATGATCATATTTTGGGGTCCTTGGCATCTTAAAGATTGAAAACCCCTGCCATGAAAGATAACTTTTGGACTAGCCCAGTTTGTTCTCTTCTACAGTTCCTCCATCACACATATTGTATCAGAAAACAACAGTGGAGATGAAGTGCAGGCCTGGCTGGACAATCAAACAGGACCAGACACTTCCAGTTCTGTCCATTTGTTAGACATCAGGTGGTTTACGGAGAGCATGGAGGCAGGACATCCCGTTACTGTTCAGGACAGTCACACATTACAGGTACAAGGGCAGATCTCACTTGCTGGATCTGCTTTTATGGACACATTACTTTAAAAAGAGCAAATTAACTAAGTATGTACATGTGTTGCAGGTTAACCCAAAACCCAACATAGACCCAACTGCAATGCTGGTGAAAAGTTATGCCTGTCAAAGACGAACACCTTTGAAACACCACAATTCATTTCTAACAGTGAGTTATTTGATGTCTCAACTGCTTTCTGTTTATTCACTGCCATTGAGCTAAAGATGACACTCTGTCCTGTAGGAAGCTCTTGAAATCTTGTCTCAAAATGCCGAATATAATGACAATGAAGGACGGAGCGTCGCTTTTAGACGGGCAGCTTCAGTCCTAAAGGCACTTCCCCATCGAGTGAAGAACATGGAGGATCTGAGGTCTTTGCCCTGTCTGGGTGACCATTCACAGAGGGTTATTAAGGTGACAATTATGCTTTCCTATAGATAGACCCAAAAATGAAAATTCTGTCATTATTTACTCACCCTCAAGTTGTTCCAAACCCGTATAAAATTATTTGTTCTGCTGAAGAAAAAACATTGCCTTTGTCGCTTTGGATAAAAGTGTCTGCTAAATGCATAAATGTAAACGTCTCTAAAATCCATAGTCTAGATATATCTGTTAAGAAGCTTATTTCACCATTTAGGAGATTTTAGAAGATGGATCATCAAGAGAAGTGGAGTCAACAAGACAATCAGATCAATTTCAGGCCATGAAGGTAATGATCGGTATATGTTAAAAAATAGAATACTTTCATACTACTCAAACTATTCTGAGTAACTAATCTAAACTAAATGCCTGATTTCGTACCTTTAGTTTGTGAATTATGAAGTCGCAACCTTTTCTGCAGGCACTAACTGGTATTTTTGGGGTGGGTGTGCGGACGGCAGATCGCTGGTTTAGAGAGGGATTGCGATCTCCTGATGATTTGTTTCGCACAGGACAACAGTTGAACCGTGAACAGCAAGCGGGTACTGCATTTCAATGTGCTACATTTTTGTAATTATATTCATAAATATAGAAATATATTTATCAAACAACCTATATCATGTATATATATATATATATGTGTGTGTGTGTTTGTCTCAAACAACATTTGATTGATCATATACACTCACTGGCCACTTTATTAGGTACACCTTCCTAGTGCCATCAGAGTTACCTTAACTGTTCTCCGCTAACCTGTTTCTGATGATTTTCTGGTTCTTCAGAAAAACTGAAATGTACGATCTAGAATTTGAAATGACCTCTGACCTCATCACTTTCAGGAGTCCAGTATTACGCTGACCTCCAGAAACCCGTCACTAAGGCGGAGGCTGATGTCATCAGTGATATCGTAGAGAAAGCTGTGCGCGCTGTGCTGCCCGGAGCGGAGATCAGGCTCATGGGAGGGTTCAGGAGGTCAGATCTTGCCTTAAGTTTGATGTACTATATATCCAACTTTATAAATAGAGCTGTGTGATTAATATATTTTACATTTTGCGACAATATAAACAATCAAGCAGTTGAGATTCGCTATATATATTTCAGGGGGAAAGAAGTCGGTCATGATGTGGACTTTCTCATAACACATCCAGAAGAAGGAAAAGAGGAAGGACTGATGCCTAAAATCACAAACTGGCTGGAGCAGCAGGTACTTGTGAAGTTCTTTTGAATAGTGAATAGAATAGAATGATCTAATCCATTCCTTGTGTCTGTTTGGTGTTGTAAATTCATTTTACTCATCCAATATCTTTACAAAGTAACATGTATTTTTCATCAGGGTTTACTGCTGTATCAGAAGACGACCAGAAACTCTTATCTGGAAAAAATGGACGGTCCAGCTAGAGCTCCTCATAACATGGATCGCTTTGAGAGATGCTTTTCCATATTTAAGCTTCAGACAGGAAGTGAAACTGAAGGAGCCAGTAGGTCAGGCTGGAGAGCTGTACGGGTAGATCTGGTGGTCAGTCCCTACAGCCAGTTTGCCTTCGCTACGCTCGGGTGGACCGGGTCTAAGGTGTGGAGCTTCCTCACTTCCAAAGGATTAAATTGTTTCCAAAATTTCACTACTATTTATTTCCATTATGTTTTGTTTGTTTTCAGTTAGTTTTATTGGTTGAGTAGTTTGAAAACATCAGTTTTAGTAGCACTTTTCACTTTTAGTAACATTTTCATAGTCCGATCACTGATTATTGATTGAAATCAATCAAAATTGATCACACACACACACACAAAATATATATATATATATATATATATATATATATATATATATATATATATATATATATATTTATACCTTCTATGTTTTTGAAATTTTTATTAAAATATTACATAAAATATTAGGGCTGTCAAATGATTAATCACATCCAAAATAAAAGTTTTTTTTACATAATATATGTGGGTGCACTGTGTATAATTATTTTGTATATATATAAATACACACACATGCATGTATATTTAAGAAAAAAATATCATTTATATATAAAATATTTATATATACAATATAAATTTAGCCTGGGAAAACCCAGACAACTTCCGGCAAATTTAGATTTGCTCTGAAAGTTAGTCTGGCAAAGAGCTCATTCAAGCCCATTTCCAATCCGTCTAATTCAAGGTACCAATCAGAAACGTTGGGGCGGGCTTTACACGATGACGACAGCGCTGGGATTTTGAAGCAGATTTTGTAGCCTACATTACAAAGATGGATGCCGCCGTCGAACATCACTCGTTCGAATCAGCTATCGCGTCTTTAAGCGATTTGAACGTTTCCTTTTTGTTAAAAACCGAGCAAAGAACAACACTCGGAGATGTTTCTCCGCCGCTCTGCATACGTCATCTCCTTCATCGCTCTGATTGGGTTTAGGTCTATCCGCGACGTCCGTTGGTGACGCCCCTCTGGAAATGATTTGTCTATGACGCTTTGCCAGACCAAAGAATGGTCTGGTTTTAACCAGGCTAATATAAATTATATATAAATCTATATACAGTATATACATGAAAATATTTCTTAAATATATACAAGCATGTGTGTGTATTTATATATATATAAAATAATTATACACAATGCACCCACATATATTATGTAAAAAAACTTTTATTTTGGATGTGATTAATCACGATTAATCATTTGACAGCCCTATAAAATATGTCTATATAGTATAGATTTTATACATTTTTATTTCAGTTTTGGTTATTTTAGTACATAAAATTAAACTAAATGAAAATAAGAAATGTTACTAGCTGAAATAAAATAAGTTTAAGTTTTTATTTCAGTTTGCGTTCATTTTACTTTGTAACAAAAGGTATCATGAGGTGGATTAATGTGAATGTTTAACGGAGTCGTCACACCTGACTACCTCCTCTCGCAGTGTTTGAGGTCAGTGATGTTCACTCATGATGGGCTGTTTGTTCTGCAGCTGTTTGAGAGGGAGTTGAGGCGGTGGGCTGGGCAAGAGAAGCACATGTCTTTGAGCAGTCACGCACTGTACGACAGCAAACAGGTGAGCCACATCGGCATGTGTCTACTAAAAGTACATCGGTAACACTTTACAATAGGGTTTATTAGTTAACATGAACTAACAATGAAATGCACTTATACAGCATTTATTAATCTTTGTTCATGTTAATTTCAACATTTACTAAAATTTTATTAAAATCTTATAAGTATTAGTTAATGCACTGTGAACTAACATGAACAAACAATGAGCAGCTTTATTTTTATTAACTAACATTAACAAAGATGAACAAATACAGTAACAAATGTATTTCTCATGGTTAGGTCATGTTAGTTAATACATTAACTAATGTTAACTAATGAAACCTTATTGTAAAGTGTTACCAGTACATGATCAATAGTTATAGTATGTTAAAGTGCCCCTATTATGCTTTTTAAGATATTGCCTGTTATGTAGTGTGTAATATAGCTAGTAGTAAATGTACAATGGAGTTATTGTCTCCTAAAAGAACCAATTCTGAACTGCCTGAAACATGTCGTCAGTAATTCCAGTCTTTCTTCTTGCATAAACCTAGGTAGGTTTGTAAAAGATTTGCATAATGCCAGCCTATGGTCTCGACTGGCTGCTCACGAACAACGTCTACTTTGACCCTCAAACACTGTAGTTGTAGCTGAGACTGGAAGAGTTTGGTTTGTGTTGTAGACATGTAGAGAAGACGCTTTCTTCTGTGTTGTGAAATCAGGAGCTGAATACAGATATGGTAATGAGCATGACACATACTGTAAGCTTTCGACCAATCAAAACAAACTGAACCATCTGCCCAATCAGAGCAGAGTAGACCAATCACAAAAGACTGGGTCAGACCAATCAGAGCAGAGCAGGCTCTCAGAAAGGCGGGGTTTAGAGAGACCGGAACCGTGTGAGAAAAGAGCTGATACTTCATTCTATATTATGAGAAAATTCAAGTGTTTTACCTTGGATGCATGTAAACCCCATGCAGGAGACTCCAAAACTAAATTAGGAGTCTTTAAAAGAGCATATAGGGGCACTTTAAAGGTCCCGTTCTTCATGTTTTTTTGAAGCTATGATTGTGTTTACAGTGTGCAATATAACATGTGGTCATGTTTCGCGTGTAAAAAAAACCACAGTATTTTTCACACAATTTACTTATCTGTATACCGCTGTTTTCACTGTCCAAAAAACGGCCTGATGACTTCCTTGTTCTATGAAGTCCCTCCTTCAGAAATGCGCACGAGTTCTGATTGTGCCAGCGGTTCCTGTGTTGTGATTCGACAGCAGCTTATCGCACGTTGCCCGGAAAGGTCACGCCTCTTACCATAAATTGGAGATGCATGCGCAGCTGAAGGGCTTCTTCTCCGTAGGAGCGCAACAAGACCACGCCCCCTTTTTTGTGTATTCCTGTGGGCGGAGATTAGTCAAAAAACTGCTCTAGTTACGTCATTAAAAAAGGAAGTTAAGGGATGTAGTCCAAAGCGGCCGTTCGCTGTATGCTTTGAAAGGGGACTTCTGTTAAATAAAATATCTCGCTAGGCATTGAACTTTGAGCTTTATAATTTTACAGGTATTATTTATGCTCTAACAGCAACATTACACACTATCAAAATGGAATCGCGAAGAACGGGACCTTTAACATATTTTGTGTGATTTGACTTAAAGGTGCAGTGTGTAACATTTTTGAGTATCTATTAACAGAAATATGACATCCATAACTATGTGTTCAGTGGTGTATAAAGAACTTACTTAATAAACCGTAATGTTTTTATTACCTTAGAATAAGGCTTTTATATCTACATAGGCGCAGGAATCCCCTTCTATGAAGGTCGCCATATTGTGACGTCATGTTTCTACCGTAGCCGACAGCAAACAGCGTTACAGAGCGCGTTTCGTCACTACCTTGAAAGAGAAGCCGCAGAAAGCTAGAAGAAGCTAGTCATAAACACCGTGAGTAGTGACTTTTCCCTTGTCAGTGGTGTAAATATGTAGTTGGATTGTTTCATGTAACCTAATTCTTCTCCCTCGCTGTGTTATGGCTTTGCTATGTGGGGATAAATGTGCGGTTTAAGTTCGTGAGACAGCTGATTAGTAGACTACTCTTGTCATTGACCGTAAAACAGTTACAGGAATCACCAACCCGTCGATCTTGAAAGCATTTTTAAGTCGATCGAGTTTCCAAAATCAGAGAAAAAAAGCCTATTGTGTGTAGTAAGTGGTGTGTAGGGGATGCGGAGGCGCGCGCGCTGTTACAATCACGTCATTTTTGCCGCACGCACCTTTGGGCTCATGCGGACGTGTCGAGTTTAAACAAAGCTTTACGCTTTAACCAGCTCAGCCACAGTAACAGCTCATATTACAGCTAAACTTTTACTACCCTGTTAGAAAAAATATATAGTTGCATAGTTTCATGTGGTTCTTCTCCCTCGCTGTATTATGGGTTTGCTATGTAGGAGAATGTGCTGGTTACGTTCGTGAGACAATCAGCTGATTACTATTATTATATTATGTATTAAGACCCTTGATCCTCACCTGAAACTTTATCCATGATGTGGTTTATAATGGACTGTGGTACAGAAACTTGGTTTACGCTGGCTATTCTCTGCTGTCTCAGACGACGATGTTTGTCCCGTTTTAGCCACCGTAGCTTCTTCCAAAGGGAGGGGTGAGCAGTGGGCTGAGCCCTTAGTGTAAACTCGCAACCGAACCGCTAGATGTCGCTAAAAGTCACACACTGCACCTTTAAAATACTTTTTGGCCTATATATTGTTTAATATATACATTTACATTTATACATTTATTCATTTAGCAGACGCTTTTATCCAAAGCGACTTACAAATGAGAACAATAGAAGCAGTTAAACTAACAGTAGGACAACAATATGCAAGTTCCTTCGCAGTTTAATCTAACGCAGTACGTGTTTTTTTTTTTTGGGGGGGGGGGGGGGGGGGGGGGGTTTATTGCTTTTTGTTTTTTTTAGATAATAGATATAGAATAGAAGATAAAGTGTTAGTATTAATGAATCAAGTGTTGCCGAAAAAGATGCATCTTAAGCAGTTTCTTAAGCAGCTCTGGTTGAGTTGGGCAGGACATTCCTCCAGCAGGGAACAGACCAGGAAAAGGCCAGAGAAAGAGACCTTTTTCTGGTATAAAACATATAGATTTTATAAGTAAACATTGAATGTTTAACTGTAAAAACGTTCAACACCTTGCTAAAAAAAGCTGCATTTACATCTCTCTCTGTAAAATTGCACAGAATCTATACCTCAGAGCAAAGACGGAAGAGGAGATTTTTGCCTACCTGGGTCTGGAGTTTATTCCTCCGTCCGAGCGCAACGCCTGAATCTCCAGTCTCCAGTTATCACGACTAATGTGCCGGTGCTTCCATCACAGAGCCGTACATACTTTTGAGTTTGGCTGCCAGTTATGATCAGGTCACGTTTCACATGGAAAAGTTTATAAGATGTGCAAATGTTTTGCCAGCATCGGATATCTGCTATAATCTGATCAGTTTTCTCTGTGTTTTGCACTATAGTTTAAGGTTTTAACGTGGTTCTTTGTAAATAAGGTACAGTAATGATAAAAAGTAGTTCTTTTATCAGACACTTGAATGTTTTTAAGATGTTGTTCTTATTTTATACTTTTTAATTAAATTAAATTTTAATTAGAACTGAAAATGTGTCAGTATATATTATTTAATTTGACGTTGTCTTTGGATAAATGACCATTGGGGCTAACTTGATTTTATCGTCTTAGCTGCTGGTGTGATTTTCTACAATTTATATATACTTTAATTTTGATAAAGTTGCATATACTAAACCTATAAATGTTCTACTGACATTTACGGAGATGTATGGAGGCTCTCAGCTTTGTCAGTGAGGATATTTGATGCATGTACTCATCATATATGCAGATGTGTTTGTGGTTAGATGATGCCTGACATTATTCTAACCTCCTTTTTGTGCACCTGGTTCATTTTGACCCGCTTTTCCCAACCGCCAAACTTCTTTACATGCTCATTATATATTTTAAAACATTTTCTCGAACACTGGGGGAAAACGGACTACAGCACTAAAAAAATAAACGCACATTAAATTCAGCAGCCATTTTGTTTTTCTGGCATTGCAACCTACTTAAAGGAAGGATATTTATAAAACATGCTAACATTTCTATTTGTGACAAAAAAAAATGTAAGTACAATTTACGTGAAATGAGGTCAACTTTAAAACTCACCAGAGTTCAATAGTGCCTGTATAAGTTCTGAAATGTTTTCATAATTATCGGTTGACAAACAGTAAAAACAGCTGTTAAACCGTATAAAAGAGGTCTATTTTTATCAATTAACCTCTTCCTTCTGTCAATGCATAGTAGATAGTGTTTCTTTTAAAAGAATACACTATATTTCAGTTTTGAAATAGTACTGTTTGAAAAGTTTGGGGCCAGTAAGATTTTTTTAATAAGGAATGTATACTTTTATTCAGCAAGGATGCATTAAATTGATCAAAATAAAGATTTCTGAAGGATCATGTGACACTGAAGACTGGAGTAATGATGCTGAAAATTCAGCTTTAAAACATAGGAATAAATTATATTTTAAAATATATTCTAATATAAAAGAGTTATTTTAAATTGTAATAATATTTCACAATATTACTCTTTTTACTGTATTTTTGATCAAATAAATGAAGCCTTGGTGAGGATAAACGACTTCTTTCAAAACCCCCAACAGTATTGTATATGTACTGTATTTTAATACATACTGATCATCTGATTAATTTCGAAGAGGAAATGTTGGGGTTTTAACAGCTAAAGTCAGGTGAAAGGAGACGTGTTTTGTCTCGTGTCTCCTCCAGTATATAAACAGATGTCTCTGTCTCTGCGGGGGATCTTTCAAGTATAAATTCACCTCTGCGTGTCTCCTTTCTTTCAGTGTTAATGGCAGCAGCATTTATTTAGCCTTTACAAAATAACCAAATGTGCCATGAGGGAATTAATCCATGATTTTACAATACATTTACCTTGAGTGCAGTTAAATATTATGGAGACATGGTAGATATAGTAAATAAGAAGAAAGCTGCAGTGCTTACAGTAGCCTATATTCAAATTAATAATCTGCTTATTTGAAAACACAAAATAGTCACAAGTCAATAATAATAATTGTAATAATAATTTTAATGCAACTGGTGTGGAAACCCTTTTCTCTGAGATAAATGATTAACGTTGATCTATCTGACCTGTATTTTTCTCTTTCCCAATACGATTTCTCACTCAAGGTATTTAACTTTTTCTTAAAGGGATAGTTCACGCAATAATGGAAATTCTGTCATCATTTACTCACCCTCAAGTTGTTCCAAACCCGTATGAGTTTCTTTCTTCTGCTGAACACAAAATAAGATATTTTGAAGAAGAATAACCATTACAGTTAATAAACTGTTTTTCCTTTTTACTATGAAAGTCAATGGCTACCGTCAACTGTCTGGTTACCACCATTCTTCAAAATATCTTCTTTTGTGTTCAACAGAGGAAAGAAACTCATACGGGTTTGGAACAGTTGTGGATGAGTAAATGATGACATCATTTTCATTTTTGGGTGAATTATCCCTTTAATATGATGCCTTTTAGACAAGATGCTATGGTAATGCTCCAGTACAGTTTATAAAACCCCCAGAGTACAGTGTAAATATTATGATGTATGAAAATGATAATCTGTCAGTTGTTTTGCCTTTTGAATCTACCAATGTTGAGTGTCATCTCATAATCTTAGGCTATAGTCTTTTTTATGACATTTTGTTTTGATGTCCCATATGTCACGAAAGTGTATAATACAGTAATGGACAGTGTGAAGCACTATATTGTTTTATCTCTGATGGCTGTTGGTTTGCAGGCTCTTTAAAGTGGCGTGTCTTCAGGTTTGACAGGACATAAACCGGCGTGTCTCATTTTATCTACCTTTAAGTTGTATTTTATGGCGGTTTGAAACCGGCAGACACCTTCTGCTAACAACATAATTGACCTCTAAATGTCATTTTAACTTCAAAGGGCATGTCTAGGCTCACACCTCACATCAGCCTTTACATTACACTCTTAACAGGAAAAGGAAAGGCCCAAATGTAGCGTTCCCTCCTCCCTTGTCTTTCTCGGCGAGGACGCTCCTTTCAGTCAAGTGTCCATGATGTGAAAGCATTCACAAACATGGTGATCTGGCCCCGGCTCTTCAGTGATGTGTGTCGTAAGAGACGGGGTGGGTGGGTTTCGGCAGTTATGCTCAATAGGGCTTAATGCCTCCTTCACACTTCCCCTCCCCGTTTCCAGGTGTGAAACAAAAGTGCTCTGAATGGGCCGCCGGAGCGTCCGGGACACCTCTGGTCTCCGTGAGGAGCAGATCTCTGGAGGAGACGGGGCTCTGGCGCTCGGTCTGAGCTCGAACATAATCACAGACCTGCTTTTCCGACCGGGCCGGTTCCTCGGGTCCTTCTTTGAGGGGGATTCCTCTGATTGGAGTCAATGAGGGATTACTGGATGTGTTGCAATCAGGGTTGATGGGATTAACCGGATTAGTGACTTTCATGGACATTCCCTGCATAACAAACGAGACCAGAACACACTATCACGAGACCGTGTTAAAGTGGTCAAACATTGCACAATCACAATTTGAAGTTCTAATGTGATAATTGATACGTAACATACAATATCATAGGAATGTCGAAATAATTCCAGCTGATATTGGCACACTAAAAGAAGAGCAAGGTATTTAACAAATATTCTCAACATAATGAAGAGAGCAAATTTGCTATGTATTAAGATTTGAGTAAAATTCAGTTTTTAGCATGATATTTAGAAACTTTATTATATTATACACATTATATAATGTATATAATGTGCAAGCCATTTGGGCCTATGCAGTTCACTGTCTTAACACTTTTTAATATTTGCTTTTAAGGAAAATTTTACTATATACACACACAAGTAATGTATCATATATATATATATATATATTTATTGCATCTAACATACAAGTTTTTGTGTATATAATGTATATATATATACATTTACACACACACAGTGCTTAGCATAAGTGAACACCCATGCTAAAGTTGACTAAAAAGAGGAATAAAAATTCATGAATGGCCTTTGGAATTAAAATAGCCCCACATCATCACATAGAGATTAGCATGGGGTAATTTCCATAAGATCATCTCTCAATGCAAATCAAACCAGCTATTAGGCTAGCTGAAATAAAACCATGCCGATCTCTCGGTATGGTGAAGGATGATGTGGGATATTTCAATTCCAAAGGCCAAGGGAACTTCATCAGGATGCATAGTGTCCTGGATCCATTATATAACGGGCCTTTAAAAATAAAAATCTGCCCGCCTCTATGGTAATTTAACATTGGGGTGTCCTGACTTACGCACCCTGTATTTTACGGAAGAACATTTATTTATTTACGATACATTATTCATTCACAAAGAAAATTGGTGTCCTTAAAGGTTGTATTTTTCCTAATTTTTTTTTTTAATTAAGGCATTAAGATCAATTTCCAAAAGATGATTTTTTATTCCTCTTTTTAGTCCACTTTAGCATGGGTGTCTTCACATATGCTAAGCACTGTGTATATACAATAATCTATATATACACATATTATATAAACAAACTTTTCTGTTAGATGCAATTAATCGATTTGACGGCACTAATATATACTAAATCAGGTATTTTTTTAGGTTATTTTTTGTCATGCTTTTATTTATTGATTTTTTACAGTAACTGATTTATTTAAACTATTTATTTCTCTTAATTATTGCTATCAAATTGGATACTGTCAGCATTTATATATAAAAAGCAATTATACTAAAATAGCACTATTGTATTTTATTTTGTTTATATGTATATTACATTTAAATGAAAGGACTGCAACAGGACTTTATAAATATAAAGTAAATACAGTTTATATAAATGTATTTATTTTATATAAATGTTATTGTGTTGATATCAATATCAGCATGTTGTAGGGAATAATGCTTCTAAATGAAGTATTGTGCACAAATCTGTCAATGGGTGCTCAGCATAAGGGTAAAACATGTCTAAATGTTGATGTTCTGATTATTTTGTAGTCTTGTGATGCTCATGGTGCCGGTGTTGATTTTGCACAGCTGGTTGTTTGACCCTCGGGCCCCTGCAGCACTGCAGAGGGACAATACCTGAGCAGTCATAACAGAGCAGCAAACAGCCCTATTAGAGATGAAAGAGGCTCAATGAGGACAATCAAAGGCCCTCACCGCCGGGGGCCATTACTCTGAGAGACTGCCGTCTGTAGCAGCACTTCAGCTCACTCACTCACAACACACCCAGCACACATAATGCCTTTAACTGGACTCATCATATGAGAACACAACAGTGTTAAGGGCTGAGCATCTTAACTTGATGATCAAAACATATCCATCTATAGAAAATGCTGTCAGTATCCAACATGAGCCTAATCAGACTGATACTAGTGAGTACAAGAAATGAACATAAAAAGCCAATAAAACTGCTTTAAAACTAAAGAATTATTTGTCAAAGAAATGTTTTATTAAGAGAGGAGAGACTGCTGAAATCATTCAGATAACTTTCTATATAAATAAATGCTGACACAAAACCTAAAGAATACCAGATTTAGTACATATACATAAATGACACATGACCTAAAAATAATACCTGATTCAGAACTTAAATGCCAATGCCTGAGCAAGACACTTAACCCCTAGTTGCTCTAGAGGTGTGCGACCTCTGACATACATAGCAATTGTAAGTCACTTTGGATAAAAGCGTCAGCTAAATTAATAAATGTAAATGTAAATGACACATAACCTCAAGAATACCAGATTTAGAAAATAAATGTAAAAGAATGACACATAAGCTAAAAAAAAATACCTGCTTTGGAACTTTAATAGATAAATAAATAAATGACACAAAACTTAAAAAATACATGCTTTGGAACTTTAATAAATAAATAAATGACACAAAACTTAAAAATACCTGCTTTGGAACTTTAATAAATAAATGACACAAAACTTTTAAAAAAAATACATGCTTTGGAACTTTAATAAATAAATAATTAAATGACACAAAACTTAAAAATACCGGTTTTGGAACTTTAATAAATAAATGACACAAAACGTAAAAAATACATGCTTTGGAACTTTAATAAATAAATGACACAAAACTTAAAATATAGATGCTTTGGAACTTTAATAAATAAATGACACAAAACTTAAAAAATACATGCTTTGGAACTTTAATAAATAAATAAATGACACAAAACTTAAAAATACCTGCTTTGGAACTTTAATAAATAAATGACACAAAACTTAAAAATACATGCTTTGGAATTTTAGTAAATAAATGACACAAAACTTTAAAAAAATAGATTTTTTGGAACTTTAATAAATAAATAAATAAATAAATGACACAAAACTTAAAAATACCGGCTTTGGAACTTTAATAAATAAATGACACAAAACTTCAAAAATACCTGCTTTGGAACTTGAATAGATAAATAGATTGATAAATAAATGCATGACACATTATAAATACCTGATTTGGAACTTAAATATATAAATAAATGCATGACGCATAATCTAATAAATGACCTGGTTTAGAACTCAGTCATGCAACTCGTACTCTTTTAAAAGAAAATGTTCTTACAAAGAACATTTGTTTGGCTGTAAATGGTTCTTCAGCTGCTGTTGCTGTTAAATGATGGGATCTTCAGATCAGTGTTTTGGATTCTGGTTTCTATAAAGCACAAGTAGGTGAATTGGGTTGATAGGGACACATTTTCCCTTTCATATCAATGGCCAAAAGTGTCCCGATCAACCTGAATTCACCCTATATTGATGATTGTACTAAAAACATTGCTATCAGCTCAGGAACATTATAACAGAAGTCTCACACTGTAATCTTGGCTTTAATGATAGTGTTGGTGAGATGAGAGGTGGCCCTGCCGTCTCCAACCCCTCCCGTCTGTCATCCATAAAAACAGGCTCCTGTCTGATTCCTCTCTGCTCACACACACATCAAAGTCAGCCCCGGGTTTATCACGTATCAGGGCCCGGGGACAGCGGAAACGAGACGGGACCGTCCCCTAACACTGATCCTAGTGGAATATAGAAACCTACAATACAATTACAGAGAGATCAGTGACAGATAAGAGAGGAATGAGATCGGGGTGTTTGTTTGGCCTCTCGCTGAAAGAGAGAGACAGATAGAAATGAAGATATGATGAGAGAGTGTAAACAAATGATCTGCCCTTTGAACCTTTAAATGGGCTGAAGAGGGAACAATATCGACAGATGAATGATTTTATTCTCATTATTTGATTAGTTGAGATGATGAATGAACATTATATAATCTCTCTGACTTTGTTTTACATCATTGTAAAGGAGCTGCTTCCATTCATAATTTGTAATCATAATTTAAATATTTCCAAACATTAAAGTTATAATGCAAAATATAATTCTTCTAGAAAATGATAAAACTCTTTTTGCGATTCTACAACTTTAGAGACATTCTGACAAAAAACCCACTTCATTTCATCAGTTTTAAAATAAATAAATCTATAGGCCTTATAAAATGAAGGCAATCAACCATCCAACAAACAAACACCGACATGACAAATAACAAAAAAAACTGATTTAGAAAACTAAATATCAAGACAGCCACACTATATGACAAATAACCTAAAAAATTACCCGATTTAGAAAAATAAAGAATTAATTAATATCAAGACAGCCACACTATATGACAAATAAGAAAAAAATTAAAAATACAGGATTTAGAAAAATGATTAAATAAATAAATAATGCCAAGACAGCCACACTATAGGCCTATAGATATAAGAAATAACTTAAAAAACACCTGATTTAGAAAAATAAATAAATAAACAAATACCAAGACAGCCACACTATATGTCAAATAACTTAGAAAAGTACTTGGAATTTATAAATAAATAAACAAACAAATAAAAAAAGATGACTGAAAGATTTGCCAGCATCTAGCTTGCAGGTAATAAATCTTCTAGTGAACCTTTGTATGCATAAAATCTCCACCCTTGGCGCCGTCTTTCTGTTTTTTTCCTTCATTGAGCCCAAAAGGGATCAAACCCTTCAGATCCCTATTGTTTAGAAACAATAATGGGACAATCTGAGTCTGTTTTATTTGCTCGTCTGATAATCAAAAGTGTCTGGCGGGCTTTGAAATCACGTATTCTTCAATAGTGGGACTGATCAACTTAATCTCCAGCAAGCAGCTGATAAACCAGATCAACTATGCGTAATGATCCCGTTTGGGTGGGTGAATAGATCCAAGGGCCGGCAGTTATCTCCATCAGTAGTTCTCTGCAGACTACTGTCTCCAAACTCGTGTAGTGTTTCGAAAACAGCCCATTAACCTCTACCTGCCACTTCACAAGAGCCGCAAGCTTTGATAGCAATACCTGCTGAAGAGGGATAAACAAGAGCCGTTTGCAGACACTCACAGCAACATCAAGTGTGTGTGAGCGTGTGTGTTCGTCACAGACACATTTCACTGAAGTTTTCTCCTATTGTTCTATCAGAGAAACTGACAAACAATGAATAAATAAACAAACAAGCTAGTTTGACACAATCATTTTTATTCTATAGACAAAAAAACATCTGTGCTTATTTTTGAAGCAGTAAAAATAAATAAATGTATTTAGAAATATATATTTTTTCTTGCTATGAAATGTTTCAGCTTCATTTTGTTGTGCTGGAACTGTAAACAAACTAATAAATGACACATAGCCTAAAAAATACTTGATTTAACTCAAATAAATCAATGATTTAGAAATTAAATAAACAAGAGCCGTTTGCAGACACTCACAGCAACATCAAGTGTGTGTGAGCGTGTGTGTTCGTCACAGACACGTTTCACTGAAGTTTTCTTCTATTGTTCTATCAGAGAAACTGACAAACAAACAATGAATAAATAAACAAACAAGCTAGTTTGACACAATCATTTTTATTCTATAGACAAAAAAACATCTGTGCCTATTTTTGAAGCAGTAAAAATAAATAAATGTATTTAGAAATATATATTTTTTCTTGCTATGAAATGACACATAACCTAAAAAATACCTGATTTAACTCAAATAAATAAATGATTTAGAACTGAAATAAATAAATACATACACAAATTACACATACCCCCCCCCCCCAAAAAAAACTGATTTAGGAATTAAATAAATAAATACATAACACATAACTGAAAAAAAAAACTGATTTAGGAATTAAATAAATAAATACATAACTGAAAATGAAAACTGATTTAGGAATTAAATAAATAAATACATAACTGGAAAAAAACTGATTTAGAAATTAAATAAATAAATGACAAATAACCTAAACAAATACCTGATTTAGAACTTTAATCAAAGTTTTTAAAAAAATAAGTTAAATAAATACATAAATGAACAAACAAACAAACAAAACAAACTGGATTTTCATTGTTGGATGTTGTTTTTTCCCAATTTGTTGATCATTTCTGAAAGAAAGAAAGAAAGAAAGAAAGAAAGAAAGAAAGAAAGAAAGAAAGAAAGAAAGAAAGAAAGAAAGAAAGAAAGAAAGAAAGTTTTATGTTTTTATGTGGATTTATCTTTGTGGACATTATACGATGATACTTTTTCAATCAGTTTGAAGAGCTTTTCATTGGTTTCTATGAAGCACTAAAACTATTTCACTTTTAAGATTACCAAATATTGCTGTTGGTTATGAATTCGATGACTCAGACTCTGTTTTTAACCTTGAACTTCCTCCATCAGACTCCTTCTAGCGTGGACATATGAAATCCCCCCCCAAACACACACACACACACACACACCTCAGCGAGGAGACGGGATCAGAGATGGTTTTAGGGAGGGGATTACATCTCCAGACTTACTGGTGCCAGGAGTTAATGGGTTCACTCAAGGCCGATTGAGACGTCTTCATTACCACACTTGTGAAAACTGAAGGGGTGGAGATCAGGACAGGGGAGGATGTTTCCTTTGATCCGGGCCAAGTGAATTGTAAATGAGCTGGGATTAGCCCTATAAATACTTGAGCCTCATGCTGGAGGTGTTGATCAGGGAACCCAAAGCCACGCTTATCAGAACACAAACACAGACCTGACTCGCTCAGTCACAGGACTTCACTTCTGGAAACTCACCCTAGAGAAGAAGAAGTTCTTCTCCGTTCAGGACCTTGTTTGATACCGGATATTTGTCTTTTCTTTGCTGGATTTGGATTCGTTGTCTGCGATGAAGGGGCATTTTTCCATCGAGTGGCTTTCTCAGAGCAGCCAGGCCTTGTGCAGCTCGCCATCCACACATCCCTCAAACTCTTGGGACGGCCCGAGCACCTCTGGCACGGCATCCGAGAGCCTTCCCGGCTTCTACAGCAGATGGAGACCGGAAAACACGGAGGCTCAGGAGAAACGTATGGAGCCAGCACAGCCGGGAAACAGTTCGCTGTGTACACCTACGCAAGAGACCGAGTCAAATGACAACAATATCATCCAGAAACACACTCGCGGTAAAATGCTTTTCCAATAATCCAAGAGTATACTTCTATGCACTTTTTCATGAAATCCTGTAAAAAATATAAAATTGTTATTTTATATTGTTTTTCATATAATTAACAGTAAAATGGTATTTATAATTTAAATTGTAAAGCTTTTTTTAAAATAGAAAAACAGTTATTTTAAATACAGATCTAAAATACTAACATTTTATTTTATTTTTTATTTAATTAACTTGTTATTTGATGTAACGATTCTCCATGTTTTCTGAATCATGTTATAGTTACAATAGTTAAAAGTAAAAGTAAAAAGTAAGCTTTGCCAAACACAGGAATAAAAGACATTTTAAAATATATTAAAATAAAAACTGTTATTTTACATTTTAAATTATCATTTAATGTAAAATTCTAAAACACTATTGTTTTTGTTTTTTGTATTGAATTAGTTTAAAAAGTAGAAATATTCTTGAACATGGTAACAATGGTTAAAAGTACTATTAAAATGCTGTTATAATAATAAAATAAAAAGTATAAAGCCATTTCATGTCATTTTGTTACTCTCTTATTTAAAAAATATATTTGAATGCTTACAGCAAATTAACAGTTTAGAATCTACGTTAATCCAATTGTGTGATTTTTTCCCCCTACATTTTCTTTGATTTATTTTTCATTTGAGCATTTCCAATTTAAATGCACATGTATAATTTTTCGTTCCCTCTTGCAAAGTTGTTTTTTGTGACCTGACCTCTATCTTGATCTGTATATGAATCTGTGTTTGTCTTCTCGTAGCATCAGAGGCAGGTTTCAGCAGCAGCACGGAGGAGGAGGAGACGTCCGGGTACGAGAGCGAGGGGGGCCGTTCTCTCTCACCTGGGGCCCTCAAAGAACCGGCTCCATCTGCATCTCCCTCTACTGGCCGCAGACCCCGAACAGCGTTCACCGCCGAGCAGATCAACAGTCTGGAGAAAGCCTTCAAGAGGAACGCTTATCTGGGAGCCCAGGACAAAGCTGAGCTCTGCAAAAGACTGAATCTGTCTGATAAACAGGTATGAGGTTGATTCTTTTTTTTTGGTAACCCGTTAAAAAGGTTACATTTGTTAACATTAGTTAACTACATTAGTTAACATGAACTAAAAATGAAAAATACTTCTTAAGCATTTATTAATCTCAGGGTAGGTGTGGTAAAAAAACTTTGACTTTTGCCTTTTTGAGAAGTTTTGCGTACAGACGACAACATTGTAAAAATGATCCCCATTTCACACAGATCTACAAAAATGACTAAAAACGCTGTATTATGCACGCCAGGCCAGTAGATGGTGATGTCACTGTAAAGAAACACTATATGTGCCACAAATTCCTGTTTTTGTAGTTTACACAGGGCAGGCTCCTAAAACATCGTTATCATATAAATGTACAGCCAAAATGCATAAAAAGTTTTGTTTTTAGTTCAAAACGCTGTCGTGTAAACGGCCCCTTTGATGTTAATTTAAACATTCACAACTGTATTATTAAAATCAAAGGTTGTATTGTTATGCACTGTGAACTTAAGGGCCATTTAAACGTCACCATTTTCAGCAAAAAATCCGCCACCACTATCCGCCTCTGTGTAAACCACAAAAACGCGAATTTGTGAAAAGGGTGACGCCGTGCGCATGCGTATTACAGTCTATAGCCACGTAGTGTTTCTTTACAAAGTGACATCGCCATCTTCTGGCCTGCCATGCATAATACAGCCTTTTAGTCATTTTTGCGGATCCTTCGTTTCGACAACGTTGTCATTTGAAAAAACGCAAAGGAAAAACTTTTTCGTTTTAGTAGCTCGTTGTCATGTACTAAACGTACCCTAACATGAACAAACAACATAACTGTATTGTTATTAACTAAGAGCTAACTAACACCTGGCACCAGAGCTAACATGAACTAACAATGAACAGCTGTGTGTTTATTTAACTAATATATTAACAAAGATGAACAATTATCTTTGTTAGTTCGCTAACATTAACTAATTGGGCCTTATTAGATGCTACAAAAACTGATTTTCAATAATGTGATTTAAGTGCTTCAACTTGTTGATGTGCAAAATATGAACTTACGTTATGCTTCTCTCCATCAGATTAGAAACTGGTTCCAGAACCGACGCATGAAGCTGAAACGGACCGTTCAGGACAGCCTCGCTCACGCATGCCAGGCTAAAGTGGCCTCGCATATGATGCATTACTCCGACCTGCACGGTTTCCGAGCCGCTCCGTATCCCAGCTTCTACGCGGGGGTCCAGGAGAGCGCGACACCGTACGGCTCCGGGTTCCACTACGGTCCTGCCACCTCCGGAGGCCTGCCGAGCCTGCCCGTGGACGCCCTGTATCAGTACAGCCAAATACAGAGCCTTCCCGTCCATCCCAGCAACCCCTCCATGATGACCCCGTACCCGCCGTACCACTCTCACTACTACAGCACACAGTGAGAGGAGAGGCCGCCAGCAAACCCGCCATTTCGGTCTGTTACTGCTAGTCAAGGCTTTGTTTACATCTTTGCATTTGTGAATACAGGGTGAAGTGCAATAACAAATGTGATTTTTTTTTTTTTGTATTGTTTTGAAGAATTATTTAAATATGTTTGTAAATCTTGAAAAATGTCTATGTGTACAAGAGGAGTGTATAAATAAATCTTTTTCTATTTGACTACACCGCTTATGTTTTCTTTCGAAGGGTGCAAAGTGCTTAATTAACTTTTATTTAAAAGAAATTAATACTTTTATTTAGCAAAGATGCAACAAAATATATTTTTATTGCAACTTACTAAATGCTGTTCTTTTGAACTTGGTTCATCAAAGAATCCTGAAAAAAATGCATCACGGTTTCCATAAAAATATTAAGCTGCAGAACTGTTTTTAACATTGATAATAATCAGAAATGTTTCTTGGGCAGCAAATCATCATATTAGAATTATTTCAAATTCTGAAGGATCATGTGTCAATGAAGACTGGAGTAATGATGTTGAAAATTCAGCTTTGATCACAGGAATAAATTACATTTAAAAATGTTTTCATAGAGAGAAAAGTTATTTTAAATTCTAATACTTCAAAATTTTACTGTATTTTTTTATATCTAATAAAAGCCTTGGTGAGCAGAAGGACTCCTTTTAAAAACATTCCACAAACTTTTGAACACAAGTGTTGATATCATTTATACCGAATTGAAACTAAACATTTAATCCTTACAATTATTATGATATAATAATTATACCATCAAAATACAAATAATATATTTTATCATGTCATTATGACAAATAGTTCCTCTAATTAAACAGTTTTTTCTCTATCCAACAGCACATTTTAAAGTTACATGTTACTGTCCAACATATATGGCTACAACCTTTTGTTAAATAACTAGTTAAAGAAACGTTTAACTGATTATCAACTAGTCAAATGTAAAACTATAAAAATGGGGGGGGGGATCAACTTTTACCTGAAAAAAAATACTTTTACCTGAGCTCATTTGAAATATATTTTTAAGAGTAAAATTGACAGCCCACCCTGAGGTATTTTCCACGTACTTTTTGTTTGAAAAGATACAGTATATACACAATGGGAATATAGCTGGAAAGATATTTCTATACATTTATTCACATCATCCCTTATGTCAGATCCAAGGATGACTATTATCAGCCTACATTTTTAGGCTGGTCTGCCTCAGTGTTCTAACAGCAGTCATCAATGTCAAAATGATTGAGATGGCCAATCAAATCAAAGAAGACAGGGCTCACCATTTACAGAAGTAGTCAACGCAACACTTCAGTTTTAATCGTGAAAGAGTGCATGGGAAGATGCAAGTAGCTAAATATTTAACATTACACAACTGTTTTACTGTAGAAACAAAACAACCGACAATATGTGATGGAAAGTTGAAACTACTGAACTATTTATGCTATCATTTTCCACAAATCATGTAATTCATAACTGAATGCAAGGAGACAAGAAACATCGTTTTAGACATAAAGAGTGAATGTGTGCATTTTAAAATAAAAGGATTATTTGCAGCCTTGGTATCAGGATTCAATTATCACTATATCTCTTGCAGCAATTAGCACAGCATAAAGCTAATGAAAGGAGTTTCTTGGGAATATGCATTAAATGAAAATCACAGAAATGCATAACATTTAGAAAAAAAAAGTATTTTATTGTATAAAACAGACTTTAAAAAGCCAAAAATGAAACCCACACCTCAGAAAACCCCAACCCCTAAACCCAACTAAACAAAAGGCAGGATTAGTTTTCCTTTTTCCCCAGAACACGTAACATCCCCTCCCCCCCCCCCCCCCCCCATTATAATCATGGATACAGTACGTCAAACTCTAACCTCTGTTATGTTAAACTACACTTACCAAACATAACCAAACAAATGAGGAAACAACAAAAACAACTGCTTTCTCAACGCTGATTGCTGTTGCTATACAAAGACAGAGTCGAACATCAATCCATCTTAAACAGTTTTCTGCTGGCCCTTCTTTCCTATCAGGGACTTGTGGATGTGTGGAATCACACCTTTAGGGAAAGACAAAAACAGATGGAATTAAAATAATATCAGAGCCAGTTTAACAACTATAACAGCATCAGCGTTCATTTTTTTTTTTTTATCACATTACGCAAATAAAACTCACCTCCGCCAGCAATGGTAGCTTTGATAAGCGAGTCCAACTCCTCATCACCACGAATAGCCAGCTGTAAATGCCTTGGAGTGATACGCTTCACCTTCAGATCCTTGGAGGCATTTCCAGCCAACTCCAACACCTGCCAATATGACAATCACTGGGTTTGCATTTGCTTTACAGATGCACTAGAGACGATTAATGTATAACAGAAAAATCACAGCCAGCCAACAACCTGCCACTTTGACATCCAACAGGCTTGTTTAACAAACGGTGGTAAAATAAAACCATTACCTCAGCAGTCAGGTACTCCAAGATAGCTGCGCTGTACACGGCCGCTGTGGCTCCAACACGACCATGGCTGGTAGTTCGGGTCTTCAGGTGCCTGTGGATACGACCTACGGGGAACTGAATCACATAAACCAAAGAAACGGTCAAAATCATACAGTTAAATGTAACATCAGTCCATTTTTTTTTCTCTTTGGCAGAGGAATCCATACTTGCAGACCAGCTCTTTGTGATCTGGAGATTGCTTTCGCCTTGGCTTTTCCGCTGTCCTTTCCAGCCTTTCCTCCTGCCTGCGGAAGCACAAGAAAAAGTACGTATTACTCAAAAGTCCCACCAAGGCTCACTGAAATTACATTGTGCTCAATGTAAATGAGGCACGTCTTCTTCAGAACAAATAAAAAGGTAGCAACATCTGGTGAATCGGAATCATTGTTAGTTACGTAGGCAATGTGTATTGTTATAGGCCATTTTCAAGAAAGAAGTGATAAAATAAACAAAAAAGACTAGAAAGTTAATCATTTTTGCTCGGAGTTCTTAAAAAAATAGCTTGAGCTTCTTTAAGTTTATCTGACCAAGATACAGCAAACAACATAAGAAAATGCCTTTAAGGTTTTACTTTTATTTGACTACGTTATCTCATACGTTACTCTACTAACTTAAACATATAGGTAACCCACCAGCCAGAGTCATAATGCGTTTTTATGCGCTAAATTTATTTTAAAGCCAGGAAACTTTGTCCTGCATTCCAAATATTACATTTACACACGCATTTTCCGGCTTTTTGATTCCTTTTTAAGAACAATACACCAAATTCACTTTCTTCCCGTGGTCAGCGCACTATTACCAAAACACTGCAACCCACAAACACTACGAGCTTATTGAAATGGCATCACGTGAACAGAATTAAAGCACTGCACAATTAGGGTTTATACAGAACACATCGGTCCGAGCTAAGATTTATTTGAGAATTTAGACAATTAAAAACTTATTTTACCATATCGTCAGACGAGCTTCTTCTCTTTTCGCTTGAAACGGAGGGAAAACACAATGATGCCCACTTCAGCGATAGCGCGCCACGGTCCAGCGTTATAACCAATCAGCGAGCTCCGTCTTGGTTTGAAATGGTGATTTCGTCCAATCACAGAGCGTTTCACTGTGTGGGTGTTTTTTAGTTCTCTTTTTTTTCACGGACCACCAGCGCACTAGTATTGTGCGCATGCGTGCCGCCGTAATCTTTCATTACATTAAAATCGATTAAACTATTATTTTGAAGTGTTGGGAATGTTTCAATCACAATAAAATATATAGACTAATAACATGTCTGATATCTAGTGTAGCCTATGGTGTTGTCAAAGCTACAATGCAAAACAAATAAATATTGAGGACGTGTTGTCTTTTAGCTATTTTATGTAAAGGCTTCTTTCTTATCAGCTCCTTCTCAACACCCCTAAGGCTAAAACTGTAAAAGTGCCCTCGTGAGTTTCTTTCATTTTGTTGACTTTGACGACACTGTGATAGTTTAGCTAATAATAGACAACAGGAGGTGTAGCTTATAAGGCAACTAAATAAAACAAACAGGTTTTTCATTTTCCCTCTTAGAAAACGGAGCAAGTGAGGAAGACAATTTGTTAGTCCTTTGTATTTTCTTATTATTTAATGGCTCTTCCTCTTTCAGTTCTTCTTTCCATCGTTCACAGGATGATCAGTGTTTTTACGTGCAGTTGTGGGAATTTGTCTCTGTTAATATTTGACCAGCTGTTAAATGCCCATAGAAAGTGTTTTCTATGTGTTTACAGTGTTTATATCCAACATATAATTTTTTTTTATTTTTTTTATTTTTTTTATGTTGGACCCATCTGATGAGCAGCAGAGTAATAAATGGAATAATTCGTGTATTATTTAAGAATTAATAAAAAATAACTTTTGAGACAAATGAAATATGTTTAGCTCATCTTGATTACTATAACATTTAATATGTGTTTATACTATAATTATGTTAACATAATTAATTCTCAGTTTCACAGGGATTATTGGCATCACTAAAACACATTAGAACAGTCTTGGAAAGAGCAATAATGAAAACAATTTGCAATCATGTACAAACAAAACATTTGTCTTTTCAACCAGTTATTTATTGTTTAGCCTTGAATGCCTTCTACAGTTAAAAGCGATACAAGTGCAATAATTATTCATGTGCGCAACACTTTTTTACTTTATTCAATGCCACGAGAACATCAGGTATTGGCCTATATATTACTCACATTGTCACATTAACATTAGCTGCCAGGAAATGTTACATTATTTTTTTTTACATAAATTCCAGTGCTTTCAAAGCATTACATGTTTTTAGCGCTTATGTTTTTAGTTTGTTCCAGAAGATTTACATATCATTTAAAGTCATTTATAAAATGTGAAAAATTTGGTTAGCACTGAGTCCACTTCTTTTTATGTATAAGGTACTTTCCTAATAAAATAAATAACTGTATAATATGTTGTTCTTTATTGCAAATGGTCATAGTAAAAAAAAAAATCACATTTCTATCATATACTACGTTTACGTTTTCTATTATGTTTTCTAAATATTGAGTAACTACTGTGAAAAAAAAACAGATGAAAAATAGTTTCTTTAGTGCACAAAATTCACAGGTAGAATAAATGAAATATTAAGCTTAAATCTTTCCAAAACATACTTGGCAGGATACATTCTGTGAAGTAGCCTATCTTGTAAAACACTTCCTTATTTTTGTTTTTAACAAAAAACTTATTTAGCCATTTCCATGCTTTGACCTGAGAGATACAGAATAATGAAGACCAAAATTATTGCTGCAGGAAAAGACACAGAACAAAGAGCATTTCTTAAATACTTATTATTGCTTTTTTTTCTTCTCATTATTAAAACATCAACATTACCAATGTAAATGTTACCCAAAGATGTTCCATGTTGATTTCCACTGAATTAGAGTTCTTTAAGAGTAACATCTTTGGAATTGCGTCAAGAACAATAGCAAACTCTATAGTTTAAGTTATTTTTTTGTATAAATTCAGTATATGATAACAAATATCCATTGGAATTGACCAGACATAATTTAAAAACAAATCCCTATACCATATACTTGATTCAACGAAGGAATTCTTTTAGTAAAACAATCTAAAATAATTCCTTCGTTGAATCAAGTATATGGTATGGGATTTGTTTTTAAATAATGTCTTTGTCATTCCATATGAAATAATTGTTAAAAAATGTGCTTATATCCCAGTGCTGATGACACATATGCTTATGAAAAATTAACAAGAAACCTAGAAAAAGTGTCAGCTTGGCTTGATGCTTCTCGTTTAAACTTAGTCTATGTGTTTTTCAATTAAAAAAAAACAGCTATAGCAGAATCCTTAAACATTAGAATTAAAGATGAGGTTATTATCAGAGGAAAAATACCGTGGCATGATTTTAGATTCTGAGTTAAATTTTAAAAGTCATGTGAAAAAGATACGTAAAACGATTAAGGCAAATCTGCTTCAAAATAATAAGAAACTGTTTAACATATGATCATGCCCCTTTGTTTTTAAACTCGATGATATTATCACACACATGTCCTACAGATTTTAGATAAGCAAATAAGATACCATCATTGTCAGATCTTAAGTAAATACAAGTTTTTAAGCTTTGCTCATTTTGTCTTTCTCCACATGTAAAGTTTGTGTTTAAATGTCTAAATGGTCGTGCACCTCAGCCCTTATGTATACATGTTTTGAGAGATTGAGGCGCAGATCCACTTGAGCGGCTTAGTGCAAATTGTAAAATGTCACTGTCCTCTCAGTGAACGGTGTAAAATTATGGAATTCATAACCTGATTATTTCAAATCTGCTGCAAGTTTTAATATTTTTTTAAAAGCCACTAAGTCTCTGTTAATTCAGCAACAAACTTGTACTCATGTTTAGTTTTCTTTTATTCCCCCTTTTGTTCTTTTTTCTTTCCATTTTTTTTCTTTGGATTTGTTTGCTGTTGTAACTGTAATTTATAAAAGCCCTTCTAGGGACAAGTGTTGCAAATTAGCTTACAAGCACAATGAGACACGATTTGGATGGCTGTTGTCACAGTTTTATCTGTGTGTATTGTTTCTGTCCCTATACAAATAAAACATAAAAAATAAAAAATAAATCCCTGCTTCATGCGCGCAACTCACTGATCTCGGGAATTAAACCCCAACGTCACGGTTGACGTCATCGCGCACATGAAGGCGGAAGTCCAGCAGCGGATCTTCATTTCGTAAATAGCTCATAATCCAAGAGTGGGAAAACGGCTGATCCTGGGTCAGATCTTAAAAGGGAATATGCAGAAAAATGCGTGCATATTATGTAGGATATAGGCTGCGTGCTGCACTTTATAAAATTGCTACGTTGATCAAGACAGATTATCGTAGCCTAAACGTTTTTTTATATAGGCTAGTGGAGATGAGATAGAATTTAATTAGTTTTATTAATATGAGAATATATATATATATATATATATGAATATTAATACAGATGAAATATGAGTAATGCATCTGTCACATCCATATTTATATCTTTTTCTGTTCAATAGTCAATAATACAATAGTTTTCTGCACAAAACTCCAATAACATCTTGTTGAATGTTTTATTCTATTCTATATTGATTTTATATTTTTTTAAGCACGTCATATTTGCATGCATTTTCTTCTCTGATACTTTTACTGCATTGCATATGCACTGGTAAAACAAAGCAGTCGAATACCTTGATCCAAATATGATGATTTAAAAAAATAATGATATATTTCTTAGTTATCCTTCAAAGCTTCAGCTAAGCCCCAGAAGGACAGGAAATGCCTGCACACGAGGAGGAAATGCCTCTAACCAATGGAGCGCGCGCGCACCTCCCTCGTCCTGCGAATGACAAGCGCGCGGACCTATGAGTGACCCCGCGGGCGCGCGCCGCCTGTTATTGGCAGATGTGAGGCCAATGCTGTGGTGCGTGCGTGCGTGCTGGAATAGCGCAGAGAGAGAGGAGCGTTTCTCTGAGAGAGAAGTTGGCTGGAGGAGGTGCTGAAGATGGCGGATGGAGACAGTGGGAGCGAGCGCGGTGGCAGTAGCGGGGGCCCTCAGCACTTCCAGCGGGAGCAGGAGACCCAGGAGCTGGCGTCCAAGCGCCTGGACATCCAAAACAAGCGCTTCTACCTGGACGTCAAGCAGAACGCGAAGGGACGCTTCATCAAAATAGCGGAGGTGGGCGCTGGTGGCTCCAAGAGCCGCCTGACTCTCTCCATGTCCGTGGCGGCCGAGTTCCGCGACTACCTCGGGGATTTCATCGAGCACTACGCCCAGTTGGGGCCAAGCAGCCCGGAGCAGATCGCGCAATCGTCCGGCGGTGAGGACGGCGGCCCGCGGCGTGCGCTCAAGAGCGAGTTCTTGGTGCGCGAGAACCGTAAATACTACCTCGACTTGAAGGAGAACCAGCGCGGGAGGTTCCTGCGCATCCGCCAGACCGTTAACCGAGGTCCGGGCTTCGGCGTCGGTGGAGGAGGCGGTCCTGGAGGCAGCGTGCAGACCGGCCAGACCATCGCGCTCCCGGCGCAAGGCTTAATCGAGTTCCGAGACGCCCTGGCCAAGCTCATCGATGACTACGGCGGGGAGGACGAGGAGCTGAGCGGGGGGCACGGAGCCGCGGGGGGGTACGGCGAGCTTCCCGAGGGCACCTCCATCATGGTGGACTCCAAGAGATTCTTTTTCGACGTGGGTTCCAACAAGTACGGCGTGTTCCTGCGGGTCAGCGAGGTCAAGCCCAGTTACAGGAACTCCATCACCATCCCCTTCAAGGCCTGGGGGAAGTTCGGAGGAGCTTTCTGCCGCTACGCCGAGGAGATGAAGGAGATCCAGGAGAGACACCGGGATAAGATGTACGAGAGGAGAGAGGAGTCCGAGGGCGAGGACGTGGACGACGACTGACTGCAGACTTCGCCAGGAGATGACCACACGTGTGAAACAAGAAGTGCATGAACTGAACTCAAATAGCCTACTAAAATATTCATGGGACAGAAAACTAGATCTGTGAAGTTTCTATGTGGTGAGGGTTTCGGGAGGGGGGTTGTCTGTATCGAAGCCATGGGGCGAAGGATGTCTCGTTGGGTATGACTTATTCCCGATGCTGCCCTGTCCTGTTAAACCAGCAAGTTTAATTGTCTTAGCTAACAATTAAACCTTTGTTACATCAACGCCAAGGCTGCTGAATTGCAGCCTGAATACGACAATACCAGGCTGTAAGGGTTCATACTGTCCAACATGTTTTTAGAGGGGAGAAATTTAGTATATATATATATATATATATATATATATATATATATATATATATATATATATATATATATATATATATATATATAGTGTCACTGGTATTCATGGTGTGTTTCCTATACCCAGGCAGCATGGGACTTTCACAACTTTTATCAAAACGTTACATCAGAAGTTCTCAGATTATTTTATTTCTTTCTTTTATTGACAGATGTTCCCTAAATTATTGTTTTATGGTTTTCGTTCATGCATCAACATGACTTTTATGGTTTGGCCAATTTGAATGATGAAAAGTTTTAAATTCAGATTTGGAGGGGAATGTTTTGACCCCTGATTTTGTGTTGACATGTCTCAGCTGTTCACAGCCATGAGACTTTTTAAATCAGAAGTCGTAATCTGTAAACCAGTGACTTCCTTGAGGCGTTAGTAATGGAAAATTGTTGCTTTATGCACATCATTCAACCGGTGTTATCAAATAACATTATGGACCGGTGGGATATTTTGGTTTTGGGGTCAACATATACAAAGAGCTTTGTCTTTTTCTAACTTGGGTCCAAGTCCCCTCTGAATATTTAAGGACAGATTGCTTAAGATTGCTTAAAGGACAGAACGACATGGACGAGTGTATTTTCACCCCCGTCCCCTTTTGCGTTGTCATTTTTTTTTTAATTATGTAAGATTGTTCTTTATGAGAATAAGTAAAACAAACCAGCATATTTTTGAATACACAGTAAAAATTATATATAAACTACCGAATTATTAAGGCTCAAGAAGCTAATTTTGTAAAAAAGAAAAATAAGCTGGGATTGAAATATTGGATTTGTTTTGTAGAAGAGTATAGCATCATATATGAGATTATCCTTGCGAAACATCACTCCTCCCACAACCCCTTTGAGTTTACAGCACGCATACGTTTTCTTTCTACGTGATTAATATCAAACGTCTTTCCATTTCTGTGCATGCCCGTCCCGCATTTGCCTTTTTATTTAATTTATTGCTTTCTCTTGCGTAGTAACTGCAGCTATATTAATGCAATATTTTTGTTTAGCCTTTCACCAAAAATATTATAAGAATAACCATGTAGACCAGTGGGTTATGATGGAGAAAGATAGTTAATGTTGAGAATATTTCATCCAGGTGCACTTTAGCGAAAACGTAAACTGCGATTATGCTTGTATCCACGGCGAAGAAATTGAGAAAAAAAGAAGAAAAAAAAAAATCCCTTCTTGGGTGCAACAGTGTTTTGTGCTGGTGTGTAAAGCCTCCTTTAACCTTCCATGCTGTTTTGTGTTAAATGGCAGCTGTTGAAGTCATGTGCACTGCTGTGATTCTTTCAAGACGAATTGCAATGGATAGTTTGTTATGAAATATTCTCCCACACTTGTGTCTATCGGCTGAGTGATCGCTGACGGATGCCAGTCGCTGGTCTTCTGTACTCTCACGACTGCAGCAGCTGTTTCTCCTCAACGGTGAGCTGACTAGGCAGGACGGCTATTTTAATGCGAGAAGCGTGGAGAGGGCGAGCATTCCTGCTCCGGTGGCCGTGGACTCAGCTGTGCCGCTTGCTCTGAAGTGCGCCGACGCACAAGGGCCCGATTGTTGAGCCACTGCAAACGTTATTACATCAGCAGACTGCATTTGGTGCATGTGATGGGGATAGTAGAGGGAGCGATGTCGTAACATTCAGCAGAGTGTTTTCTGCGACTAACCTTCTGAAACAGGCCCCAATTTGGCAATAGAAAGCGTGACACAGCAGCTGTTGGCAGGACATTCTTGCGTTCCCCTCCCCTCAGCTGCTGTCCGGGTCGCTCCGCTAAACTGAGCGTTTGTAGACGGGAGGCACCATTCGGGACTCGTTTTACAAACTCTCTGTCGGAAGGAGATTCGCCATGCGTCTTAATCAACACCATTTGTAGATCACGTGTGCATTCATTTTGATTGTATGACCCATCTGTACTATTAGCACAGTGAATGTGTCATGTTGAAGAACCAAGATGGTAGACTAATGTTGTTTAAAAAATGCAAATGACCAACAAAAAGCAATTTTTTCCCCCCCTTCACTTATACATGCATTAAATCCCTGTAGGCTGCTAAATGTCAAAGTGTATCGCAGCACTTTTTTTCTTCTTCAATGACCTGTCCATTTAAAGGGATACTCCACCCAAAAATGAAAATTCTGTCATCATTTACTCACCCTCAAGTTGTTGCAAACCTGTATGAGTTTCTTTCTTCTGCTGAACACAAAGGAAGATATTCTGAAGAACGATTGGAACCAAAGAGTTGTTTGGCACCATCGACTTCAATAGTAGAAAAAAAAAGTACTATGGAAGTCAATGGTGCCAATGTTCCAATCGCTCTTCAAAATATCTTCCTTTGTGTTCAGCAGAAGAAAGAAACTCATACAGGTTTGGCAACAACTTGAGGGTGAGTAAATGATGACAGAATTTTCATTTTTGGGTGGAGTATCCCTTTAAGATCTGGAATCAGGCACAAATCTCTTGCAAAACACCAGAAATGGACTTTCTATCGACTGAACTTGGCTGCGTTTATTGCAAATGTGTACTGGGAATACGTACTGTAAAGAATTGTTTTGTTTCCACCTTAATGTCACTTAAAAAAATAAAAAAAAGGGGACAGGAAGCAATACTCATCCATAGGGATGAGATTATGAGTTCATTTCCTGTCAGGCTCTTAGCCGACTCCCAATTGGCCGATTTGTCTTCCTGTTTCCTGAGGTTGGGATTTGTGCAAAGTTCTGTGGGGCGTCCGCATACTTTTCAAACGAACAACAATACCTCTGTTCCACTGTTATTTCAGGCGACTCACCCGAGCTCTTAACAGCATCCATGTGTCAACCACTGTTGTGTTTTTTTTGGACACCGTACGCACAAGAGCAGCAACTCATACAACAATCTTTATTGAAAGGTAGCTATTTTTCCAATATATCTTGTGATTTCAGCAGAGATTTTAACGTCGGAATGCCCTTTAAACTCAGGTTCTCGGCGTTCTCAGTATATATATTTTCTATCTGTTACTTGATACTGAAGTTCCAGAGTGAGTTCACAGCTATTGCAGGACACTGTCAAGAGCTCAGGTCTCAGATACTCAAAGTATCTCCACCCATCCCATCAAGCCCCGTCCCACGCCTGCCTCTCAAGAACCGGCAGCCTTCCGTTTTTCCCATGGCTGAACTTTTTTTTTTCTGAGATTTACAAGTCTATATTTAGAAAATGCTATGTATGTTTGTAACAGAATAAAGGAAATTATAAATGATGGAAAGCATAATACTGGCCTGGTGTTGTTGTGTTTATGTGTATTGGTTGCGTGTTCAGTGTTATTTTAGTACTATTTATACAGTATTATAGTTTTTATTAATATTTTAAATTAGCTTTTATTGTAATATTTTCAGTTTGTGTTAATTTTAGTTTAACTTTTAGTACATTTGTTTTTTTAAAAATTACTATTTAGGTTTATTTTTAGTTTATCAACATACCTTAGTTTATTGCCAAGGTAACATTTCTAATTTTTGTTTCATGGGTAATATTTATATTTTATTTCAATTAACACTTTTTTTTTACTGTTTTAGTTCAATATTAAAACTGTACCTATTTACTTCCTTAAAGTAAATGATAAAACCATTTGTCTAATAACAATAATCTTTAATCAAAATGTAATGACTTTTGTTTCAGAGTCCCACCTCTGAAATGACTGTTCTTATTGGATGATGTCACGAATCCCTATTATTTTTCAGCTGCTCCCCTTAAAATATCTCCATTCTGGAATGTAAGTCCCACTTTTTTTAATGACCCAGTCAGTTACGGGTGGTTAAAATGTAGTTTAACTGAAATAACATGGCATTAAGGGAGTAAAATAGGTTGAAAACACTATTTAAAATTTAAAATTGAGCCTTTATCTTTTCTAAGTATAAGTTTGTGCTTGTAAACAATGTATCTTATTCTAAAATTACTTTACTTGATTGATGTCACCTAGACCGCACAGACTTGGGATTAATATTAAATAGCAGTTTAGTCATTGTTTTAAGCCGCTTAATGCTGTAATTTATTGCAATTAAATTCCACTTAACGTTTTATCAATTACTGCACAAAAGCAAATAATAGTTATTATTTTTTCTTTAAAAAAAAAAAAAAAGCATTATTTACATTCTTGTTTTTGAGGGTAAACTTGACCTTCAGCTTCCACATGACCCCAAAAAGCCATTCCGTCGTACATTTAGTCGAATATCTTCTTTTATTCATAATATGTCACATAACACGGTCAAATGTTTGGGGTCCGTAAGATGTTTTAATGTTTTTGAAAGAAGTCTCTAATGCTCACCAAGACTGTATTTATTTGACCAAAAATACAGTAAAATAGAAATATTGTGAAATATTATTGCAATTTAAAATAACTTTTTTTTATCTTAATATGTTTTAAAATGTAATTTATTCCTGTGATCAAAGCTGAATTTTCAGCATCATTACTCCAGTCTTCAGTGTCACATGATCCTTCAGAAATCACTCTAATATGCTGATTTACTGCTCAAGAAACAGTTCTGGTTATTATCAATGTTGAAAACAGTATGCGCCTCATACCTGTTGTTGAATCCATGATACATTATTTCAAGATTATTTGATAAATAGAAAGTTCAAACAACAGGATTTATTTAAAAAAGGAAATCTTTTGTTATTATAATAATTTTAATAATCAAAAAAGTCATCACTGGCACTTTCAGATGACTTTTGAATGGTATTGTAAGTAAAACGGGTTATAAATTGTTTAATTTTGACTTTAATGCATGACTTGCATAGTGTAAAAATGGCAGTGTTGCAGTGTAGGATTGCAGCACACGCACCTGTGGCCTATCATCCTCACAGGATAGGGGATGCCGGGTTCGAATACGCCCCGTGTCCCGGCTGACCCCCCA